CAAAGTCAATATTTCCCTTTATATACAGCTTATATATGTATATATATATATATATATATATATATATATATATATATATATATATATATACGGAATCATCAAGTTGTCGTTAATGCAGTTATTTATAAAATCATATTTTAAGCATTACTTAATCCGTCCCATGTGTGTTTATTTTATTAAAATATAGGCAAAAATTATTATTGTGTTTAGGACGCATTTTTGTACAACCCGCCAGTTTCAGTTGTCAGTGTTTTTCAGCAATGGTTGAATTGATAGTCTATTATTTAGTGTCCTTTGATTTAGTTGCGTGCATGGATGACGTCATTTCGTGTTGTCATAGTTTGATAATCCAACAATTCTGAGTTTACTTTTTTTTACATACTTTATTCTAAGTGAACAATATTTCAAAATTATTTTTAATAAAAAAAAACTTTGCGTAGACGAATGTTTGATAAATTTATTTTAATATAGATGTATGCAAAAACATATTCTTGTACACAAACTCTACGCTTGGAATACATGCATCTACGTTCTCTCTCTCTCTCTCTCTCTATATATATATATATATATATGCATTGTTTACATTCATCTACTTAGCACTTTTGTTAAACTATGTTATCCAATCACAACACGTTTATATATAAAATATATGCAAAGACACATGACAATATAGACAATTGTCATGTGTATAAATATGTACATATTTATATATACATATATACCCATATATATATATATATATATATATATATATATATATATGTTTTATAGTTATATGTGTGCAAAAAAACACATACATCCGCATCCCACATACACGCACATATATACACGCATATATACATGTATGTATGATGATATAAATATGTGTGTGCATATAAATATATAAGATCATGTAAAAATATAGAACTTTATATAACCTTAAGAAGTGTTACTCCACGTAGAGCACAGCTGCTGTAACTGGCAACTTTCGTGATGTGTCAATATGAGATATGCAGATGTAACGTTGGTATATCATATTGCTATCATGTTAGGAGTATGACGCGTAGCAGTCTACAAGCTCTTCTCAGACTATGATGTCTAATAAGCCATTCTACAGAGATAACAAAATTAGCAGGGACTTCGCGCGCACCAGCGGCTGGTCAGCAAATTCGAATTTTAATTATTTTTTAATTAAATATTTTTTAATATTTTTCTAATATTTTGTTTATTTAACAAGAGCCATATTGTTATTATTTCTTCAAATTTGAGTTTTTATAATTATATTGCTGATGGGATATTAATTAAAAAAAGTTGTGCACTGGTTGCCTTAACGTTGGATATATTACCAATTCAACAGGATAACTGCCAAACCCGCCGTTGGATCCCTCAGATCCATTGAAACGTTAAAATGGCTTGGTACGGCTCCATAGTGCCGTTTTGTACATTGGCTCTCATCTTGACTGTTCTCTCACAGAACTACAGAATATCCGCAGAGGAAGTGGGTCAGTGATTATTTAAAAGTAAAATAAATGAGCACAAAAAGCAGCCGGTTAACATGGCCTCCGCCTATTGCTCATGACCGGATATTGATCAGCACAAAATTTTTAGTGACCATCCACGCATAATCAAAATATTATTAATAACATGCTCGTACAAATCTGAGGACTCGGAATCAATCCATATTTTCAAATTATTAAAAAATGAATTTTTTAAGTCAATTGGAAACAACTCAGGAGCAAAATAAATAAACATACTAAAACAAATAACTATTATATGCTTTAAACAATGAACAATGAATAAGCGTTCCACCTGCCGATCGAAGCTGAATCTTTTGTGTTATACATTACAAACGATAGGCTAGTACAGCTAAAAATCTAAAGTTTAATGTAACAATGTAGAAGCGATATAAAAATGAAAAGACTTTAGGGTCAAAATAGAAGTTTCATATATTTCAATGCTCAATATATTAAATATTCTGAGCAACTTTAACAAATTTTGTAGTGCTAACATGATTATAACTTATCATAACTTACATATAAAACTTATGAATTATACCTAATTTTTTTTATTTTTAGATCTTACAGTAAATTCAGCGGTGAGTCATCTCTGTTTCGATATTTATTTTAAATGTTCACGAAAGTTTCGAACGTATCGTTTAATGGATTTTAAACTGTTTTGCAGCACGTCAGACACAAGAGGAGCATCAGAGGTCCACCCGGGAGTCCAGGAGAAAGGGTAAAGAAGTTTTCAACCGATTAACTTATATTAAATTCATTAAATTGTTCCGACAGATTAATTTACCTTAGATTTGTGTCAATTTTAAACATTTCATTCCTTACAATGATTTTTATATACGTAACAAAAGGGTGAACCTGGCGATGATGGTGCTCACGGTATTCCTGGCCCACCTGGTGCTCCGGGACCAACCGTTAAGGTTAGCCGCTAAACATTGTTTTGTATAAATATAATGAAAATTGATTGAAATAAGAAAATATTCAATATATGTCAAATGTTACAAATTATTATCTCACGAACAGAGTCCCAATGAAATGCTTCTCAGTTTTACCGCAAATGCAGATAAAGCTGGAGGGCAGCAGTTGAATCTTCAGTACGTCAAAGCCCAAGTGGTAGGTGATAACCTAGTTACGTAGTTTCAAAAAATTAATCGTGTAGCAGTAAACTCAACGGACTAAATATTTTCCTTCAGGGTCCCATCGGTCCTAGAGGGCAGAAAGGCGCTCAAGGTGTTGCGGTAAATTAATTTTTATTATTATTATAATTATTATTTTAAGTCTATCTCACTTAGCTTTTTAAAAAAGATATCAATAAATAAAAGAATACAATAATGTTTAAAAACAAACAAAAACTTGATTTAAAAATCCATAAGCGTGTTTTATGAGCGAAAAAATATGATTAAGCAAAAAGTGGCAATACAAATAAAAATTAATAAATATTTATTTTAAATTTACATTTAATGAAAATATTTTAAGGGTTATCAAGGCCCTGATGGACATAAAGGGGAACGAGGAGAACCTGGACCATTGGTTTGTTTGCATTAATTTTACAAAAGTTGTAATAAATATTCATTGCATTGAACGTTTTACAATTTCGCACAGGGCAGCATAGGTACACGCGGTTACACTGGTACTGTTGGCCCAAAAGGAAGACAGGTAATTCATGATTTTGAGATTAGTAAATCTAAATTTTATGAAAATTTCAATTCAACTGCAAAACGTTCCACAGTTACATAATAGCGTCAATCTCAATAACTAAAAACACACCGCTATTATAAAACTAGTGTAGCGCGTTGATGTGTGTGCGTGTGTGTTTGTGTGTTTGTGTGTGGGTGTTTGTGGGTACATGAATATAATTAACAATGTCTTTTTGTTCGTGTTGAACCATTCATCAAAATATTTGCGTTTCATTACTGTTGCATTTTGCGCAGTTGTTTTTCCAAATGGAGTCCAATAATGTTTTTTAGACCATTTAATTACATATTGGAAGTAAGTGAACAGTGTGATCTGAATGATGAACTGGAAACAATTACGTCGTTACACTGTATTTTTACGCTGTAAACGATCACCCTCTGGAGTTTCCCTGCATCAATTATAATGGATGCATTACGTCATTGCCTCTCTCGCTTCCCAGCAAAACGTATAGTGGGAGAGATACGTTAGGGCAATTCCAGTTTAAAGTTCCATGCTTTACACCCACTTAATTCCTAATTTTTTCTGTTTTATATCGCGTACGTCTCAGCTATAAAATCCTTTATCTATATCAATTTTTTCCTCCAAATCAACGTACATTTTGCGGTTTCATTCATTACATTTAGAGTTTAACATATGGTTCAACTGTTTTTTTGCTCATAGAACCTCATAGAACAGCTTTCTGTTTATATAATTCATCTTCAACGTTTTTATTTACACTTGAACTTTTTTCTCGTCATTGTGTTCTTGGATTTTTTTCTGATTTACGTCAAAGTCAAAATTACTACGATAAACATACCACAACAAAATTTTCGTCAATAATTTCACTGTGGTACGACTTCTGTTTTTCTAACATGAAGATTAAATGAGCACCATGTGAAACAAATGAAATATAAATAAATAAAAGTACTAATGTAATAACAACAAAACATTTATTTAATTAACCCTTTAAAAAAAACTTAGTCAAATTATTTCATAAAAATTTTCAAAATTTATTTCAGGGTGATCCTGGTTTGGATGGATACCCGGGACCCGAAGGTCTCAGAGGACCAGCTGTAAGTCAATTTTGGATTTTTAAATCAGTTGAATTTTTCAATGTTTTTTCATGAATCAGTTATATTAAAAGGCATACTAAAATTTCTTAACGTTTTCTCATTAATCAATTATATTAAAGGGCATACCAGGACCGTCGGGAATTCCAGGACCTAGCGGAATAAAAGGTTTCAAGGTAACTAAGCAGTTTGTACATTTTTAACAACAGTTAACTAACTATTGCAAATAAAAACAACTTTTACAAATTTTGTCTATTTTTGTTCTAATCACAATTGATGAAAATTGAATAAAATATTTAACAGGGATTTCCTGGTCCCGTTGGAGAGAAAGGAGAACTCGGACGTACCGGAGATAAAGTATAATTATTGGACTACTACTAAATTAATTTGTGTTGCTGTAAAAATAATAATATTTCATAGGTAATATATCTCAAATTCATATAACCACTTTATAACCAATTGTTCTTGTATGACCGATTAATTTCTAAAAATTAATTATTTTAGGGACCAGATGGGCCTCCCGGACCTGCTGGAGAGCCTGGTGATCTCGTAAGTATTTAACTTTTAAACAAGAGTATTCATACTTTTACAATATTCAATAAAATTACAAATTAAAATTTAGGGACCTCGCGGTCCTCCCGGAGAAAGGGGACCTGATGGAAAGCCAGGACCACAGGTAAATAATAGTTCAAAAAGTTTTAAATTTAACCGTTTTTACATTTTTTTTATTTGTTGCATTGCATTTTAGGGCATCAGAGGAGTGGACGGAACTCCAGGCCCAGCTGGTGAAACAGGAAATCCTGGTCCACCTGGACAAATTGGTATTCCCGGTTTACCTGGGCCGAAGGTATTTGCAAATAAATGTTTTATGACTTACTCAACTTAATAAATAAATTAATTAATTAAATATAGGGAGATCCCGGAAGTGGTGGTCCAAAAGGAGCTATTGGTCTACGAGGACCACGTGGTCCGAATGGCCCAACTGGTCCCAATGGAGAGACTGGACCTGCTGTTAGTGGAAAGATTTTTTTAGTTAATTCAATAACAATATTGATTAACATTAATATATTAAAATTCAATGACTTGTTTTTATAATTTAATTTTATTTAAAATAAGGGACAACCTGGAAATCCTGGTCTTTCAGGAGAAAAAGGATCTAGAGTAATTTTTATTTTACTTTAGTTTGATATTGTATGAGTAACAATAATTGAAATTATGTTTAACAATTTTTATTTTAAACCTATCATTATAAAATTTAATAATTTAGGGTGATCTAGGACCACCTGGATCTCCAGGTGCTGTTGGTCATAGAGGATTTCCTGGAGCTCCAGGAATTACAGGACCTCTAGGATCAAAAGGAGATGCGGTACGTTGATGTTTGAATAAAAAAATCGCAATTGTAAATAATTTTTTTATTTTTTCAGGGTCCAATCGGATCTCAAGGTAGACAAGGAGAAACAGGAGGAAAAGGAGTGCCTGGAATTTTGGGAGAACGCGGAGAAGTTGGATTACCAGGAGAAGCTGGAAAAAGGGTCAAAACTCATTACAATAACTTTGTATACAAATGCTTCTGACAAAGTATTTAATTAACAAAATTTAATTTGACAGGGTCCAAGAGGAGCTGCTGGTATTGACGGTCCATCTGGACCACGAGGAGAAAGAGTCAGTATTGTCACAAAAATTTGCATGTCAAGTTTATATACTAGTGATTTTTAACTTATTTGAACATGACTTTTTATATATAAGGGGCTTTCTGGGGAAAGAGGACTTCCAGGACCAGATGGAGCCAGCGGGCCTCAAGGTGAAGCTGGAGAACGAGGTCCCACTGGAGAACCAGGAAACAAAGGACCAACTGTAGGTTGAACTTTTACAAAATAATTCAATTTTACTTTAATACATTATTTGTTTGATACAGGGTGATGTAGGAAAACCGGGGCCCGCTGGACCTGCTGGTGCTAGAGTAAGTAAAACTTTTTTCGGTAGATTTTAAGGAAACCAATCTAACTTAATTGAAATTTTTCAGGGTTCTCCTGGCAGAGCTGGATTGCCTGGCCCTGAAGGGCCTGCTGGCCAACCGGTAACTCAAATTAGATATTATTTTTTATTGTGAAAGGATGTTTATACATCGACTATTTAATTACATTAACATAATTACAGGGTCCGAATGGACAAGATGGGAAAGAAGGAGAACAAGGTCTTCAGGGAGCTCCTGGATTGGCTGGCATTCAAGGAGCTCCAGGTCAACCAGGTTTATCAGTATGTATTTTGATATCCTAAACAATTTTTTGACCATCTAAATTCTAATTTTTACAAAATAGAAAAATTTTTAACATTGCTTAAATTTCTATTAATCTTGATAAAATATACTGTAATAACTTATTTATTAGGGTGAACCTGGAAGAGATGGAAATCAAGGTCAGCCAGGAGCTCCTGGATCACCAGGTGACAGAGGAAAAGACGGCGTACCTGGCGCTCAAGGAGCACCTGGACCAGCGGTATACTTCCTGGAAAATATTACGTTTTATAATCTGGATGACACAATATAGAATTACTGAAAATGTTATCATGAATGCATGTTGAGATGAAAAAACGTTTTGTGTGAATTGTATACGATTAAAGACTGCAAATATTTCGGGCACATTATTTGAATAAAATAATTATTATATCAAGGTATTCAATATTTTTCGAAACTTCACACAGACACCAATTTTGATAAATGTGATATTTTAAAAATTGAAAAAATATATTAAAAAATATAAATTATATGTACATTTGTACATTTGTTAGGGTCCCCCTGGAGAAAGAGGGCCTGTTGGCGATAAAGGACCACAAGGTTTTCCGGTAAAAATTTTAAACTGACATTCATAAACACTTAGTTTTCCATTATAACTCAGTTTTTATAAATTTACAATTGTGAATTTCATGTTTACTTTGAAATTACAACGAAATTTTTTCGAACAACTGTTATTCGTAATTTGAAAGGGAAAACCAGGTGAGTCTGGTGCTGCAGGAGATCAAGGAAAGCCAGGAGAGGCTGGACCTGTTGGACCCGCTGGACCTACCGGACCTGCTGGACCAGCCGTTAGTATATCATTATGTTTAAAAAAATTAGTTAGTTTTTAATAAGAAATGTTTGAATTTTTAAAATTATTTGTCATTTCGTTGAAGGGTGAAAGAGGAGGACCAGGAGAGCGAGGTCAGACTGGACCCCGCGGACCAACGGGAGAAAAAGGTCCAAATGGTGTTCTTGGTGTAGTCGGAGCCCCGGTATTATACTTGTTGATTTTTTTAAACTTTTTAGTATTTTTTATATCAATAAAATTTATTTAATTTTATCAAATTTATTGAACTGAATAAAATTTATCGATTAGGGTCCAGCCGGAGAAAGAGGTGAAATTGGACAACCTGGACCTCCTGGACCAATTGTAAGATATATCATTTTTTGATCTAGATAAACTTCTAATATGCAACGTCAATTTTTGTATAAAAACTCCTTTTCAACATTTATAAAGGGTCTGAACGGAGACAGAGGAACGATGGGATTTATCGGACCAAAAGGAGACAGCGTTGGTATTTTTTAAAGAAAATAAATTATTTTCAAAATGTAACTACTTAACCGTTCAATTAATATTAATCACAGTTTAGCCTAATATAATAGCACCGTTCGTTTGATTTTCAGCCACCACTCCTTTGTAAATTTTTTTTGAAAAGTTAAACTCTTTCTGAATTATTTGTTGGTAAGAATGAATCAAATATATATCAAAAAGTTATTAAAAAAGATAAGGAGAAATCAGATCAAATCAGTGGTTTTAACTTAAAACAAAGTTTTGCAATTTAAATAAAGATTCCAAAATATAAATAGCTGTTAATTGCAAAGATACGGTTGTAATTGTAAGAATTCTGGTAAATAAGCAAATCGACATGTTCAGTATTGTCCTTTTCTTTTGCTATATTACATAATATACAATTAAATGAATAATAAACAAATTATTATAAAAAATCGAAAAATAAACGTTTGTTTTTTTTTAACAGGGAGACGTTGGTCCTCGAGGTAGACAGGGACCACAAGGAAGAGCTGGAGACATAGTAAGTTTTAAAATTAATATATTAGAGTTGATTTTTAATACTCATAAAAAAAAATTAACTGTAAAAAAATATTCATTGGATGAAAAGAAATTTTATTTATATTTAAAACTGGCGAGCTTCTTAAAAAAGAAATTAAAAAATTATACACAATAGATAAAATTGTCATAAAAGAATTCTAGTGCTGATAAGTAATAAAGATGAGGAAGAAGGACTAGTTCAAGACATTTACAAAATCTTAATAATATTTGTTATAGCAGAAAATGGTTAGAAAAGTAGTAAAAGTTATTTTAATCTGAAAAAATTGCAATGGTTTACAAAACATTTACACCATCTCAAAAGAACGATTGAAAAAACAACGATTATTGGGTGTCGGAGTCAGATAAACTTTTCCGATTCCGACTTCTTGATTAAAAATTTTTCCAACTTTCTTGAAAAATTATAGACCGCGACTTCTTGAACCATATTAGTATTGCATTATACCATAGCTAGTGCAAAATATCACGAGATGATTATTTTGATATAGACTAATTGCCTGTATTAAACAATTGGTGAGCAGTGAACAGTCCATTTTTAGGTTGCTATTATAGTGTTAATTGATTTGGTTCAGTAAATGTAAATTTAAAGATTTGATTTGAGTATAACAGTATTTATTTATTTAAGAACGTTAGAATAATATATTTATAATATAGGGAGCTCGCGGACCACCAGGGCCTATTGGACCTCCCGGAGCCTCGGGACCAAAAGGAGAGAGAGGCGAGGCTGGATTAAAAGGTGCCACTGGATCGCAAGGTAGCACCGGCGAAAGAGGACCTGCTGGACCAACTGGTTCACCGGGACAGCCTGGTCTTCCTGTTAGTTGAAGAAGCCCATTTTAATAAAAAATTGATTTTTACTTATATTTTGTAATTTTGTACACTAGGGAGGTTCAGGATTACCTGGTGCTAAAGGAGAATTAGGCTTTCCGGGAGATAGAGTTAGATCATTAATTATTTTATTTAATTGATTAATTTATTCACATAATGAAAAACTGTTGAAAGGGTTTGCCCGGACCTGCTGGGCCACAAGGAGAAAAGGGACCAATGGGAGCTACCGGGAAAGATGGTGTTCAAGGAAGACAAGGACCAAGAGGAGATTCTGGATCTCAAGGTGAAGCTGGTTTGCCCGGGCCACCTGGACCTGTTGGCCCTCTCGGCAATCAAGGAAACCAGGGACCATCTGGAAGTCCTGGACCAATGGGAAAAGAAGGCATTAAGGTTATTTTTTATTATTATTGCTACCTAAAATTTTATCATTGTTACGGATCTTTTGTTTAAAGTATTTAAGTGGCCAGGCTTGATAAATTTTGTGAAGTTAACGAAAATAAAAGTTTCTTGCTGCTGTCTAAGGTTATTTACTCATGTGTAGTAAATTATTTTCGTTAGCGAATAGCTATTTTATTACTATAATTTTTGGGCCACTTTGTTATATGCATAGTTTTTAATGCATGTTCGACAGAGTTTGATTTACAGAATAAAAAATAGTTTAGTTATTTAGCAGCTATGCATCATGTTCCTGACACGTGTTGTATCCCAATATATATGCAGTCTGCGATTGATATTTCTTGTCTAAAGTCCTCTATCAAACTAGTGTAGTTATTCCGATGGTTGACGGCGCTTGGTCCTGTGTTGCAGTGACTGCGTTCCAAAGCGACAAGACCTTCGTCCGTATGCATTGAGTGTGATTCACGCGTTTGCATCGTTGACACTTCTGAATAATAAATAAAAGAGATTAACTTTTACCATGTCTTGATCAAGTTTTGATTAAAAAAAAGAAGCGACGACGTAATGGCCTATTTTTAATGTGGCCTGGTGCTGTTTCGCAGTGCTTGCAGTGACAGGATTCGAATGTGACAAAATGATCCCCGCCTATCACATGCTTCCTGTGTGATGCGTCGTTTAGCACGTATTTTTATATACAATGTTTGTGTGTTGTTGATTTTTCTGAACCTAGCAAAACTATAATAGACCTTTGACCTTTTTGACCTTTTTTAAACTGCAACTATTGTTATCGTGAAAAAACTTTCCGCTAAAATAATTAATTTGCTAATAAAATTATTACGATTTGCTACAATATAATAAATTTCATAAATGTTATTTCTATCGATAAGGGCTTGAGAGGAAAGCAGGGAGCTCCTGGAAGACAAGGAGATGAAGGTAATCCTGGTGAACCTGGAAGAGATGGAAACAAAGGGGATCGAGGAGACGACGGAGCTACAGTAAGTTTCAAAACATTCAACTCATTTAACTGAAAAATTAAGTAATTATTTAACGATATTTGTTTATTTATTTGTATAGTACACAAAAAGTAAATACATACTTATAAAAAGGGACCTGTAGGACCAAGAGGAGCAGCTGGTCAGCCGGGTGAAAGAGGTCAAGTTGGAGACTCTGGAGAAAGAGGAGAACCCGGACCCCCTGGAGCCGCTGGAGAGCCTGTATGCAATTTTTTTACATTTACTGTAAATTCCAAATATTTGTTGGAAATTTTGTTTGCTTGTATGTTAGTTGTGGTATTCGCAATGAACTCTACTTTGTTTAAATTAAGTTATATCTGCTTGTATGTCATTTGAGCCATTCACAATTTACCCTGCATTTGTTATATAATTTTTTTTTCATATAGCGTCACAAAAAACTTTTAAAGCAACCTATATAAGATTTTATTTAAAATTTATATCATTTTAATGCTTTATGTTATTTAGATTTGGGAAGTTACAACATTGAATATTTATGTTAAATAGTTTATTTTAATTCATCTTCATCAGCATTTGTCATCATATTGATCAAAGAATTGTTTATTTCTGTCATTCCTATGGCCCGATATAATTACAAACTATCAAGCAATTGTAAAATGATGCATTTCATTCATACGTAGGGTGAGATGGGAGCTCCAGGGGAAGACGGCCCCAAAGGAACCAGAGGTCCTCCAGGTCCCGTTGGGCCGATCGGAGAGCCAGGGCCTCCAGGTCCCACCGGTATCGAAGTAAGTTCTTATGAGCTGTTTTGTATTGAGATAAAAGTTTTGCTGTTCTATACATGTTGTTATTTCTTTTATTAACGAGCGAAAAATGATGAACGAAATGTATTATGAAATTTTTATATCAAATGCGCTTTTTATCAGCTTTTTAATTCATCTTGCGAAAGTTAGTTTGTGTTAAAATTTTAGAATGTTTTTAAAAATATTGTTAGATTTAAATTTAATTTTTTCTTATTTTTTTTAATCGTTTTTATTATATTTTGTGTATTTTGTATTATATTTTGTGTATTTTCTATTTTATTATATTTTACACCACAACAAAATTCAACTTTGATGTTAATCAAATTCCAAAAATAGGAAATGAGTGAAAAATTGTGTGAATTTTTGAAAGAATAGAATGAGCATCTAATTTTTATTATATTTTATGAAGTTCTGTTTTAATAGTTTTAGACTGTTTTAAGTTTGTTTTATTCACCTACAATTTATAAGTTATAGCATTTTTGACGCGTTTTAATGATTTAAATACGGTTTAATACATAATAAATCAATAAATTTTTTTCTTTATCTTTTTAATCGTAATGTCTTGACTATTTCACGAATTTAAATTAGATATCCCATCTACGCAGCTTTGCATTTTCAAACTAGATTCAATTTATTTTTATTTTTAAGAGTGCAAATGCAAAATACACGATTGTAAGCAATGGCATATTGGCATGATATTTTAAAAAACATTTTTATCCACTTAATGTTTGATAGGGAGCTGCGGGTAAAGAAGGCATTGCTGGAGTGATGGGTCGTCCAGGTGATAAAGGGCCTCCAGGGTCTACTGGTCTGCCAGGATCTGTTGGACTGCCTGGTCTTCAAGTAACAGAATGTTTTTTTTTATAGTAAAGCATTCTTAAAAATTATAATCGCTTTATATTTTAAAATATTTTTTAAGATACCTGTGTGCTGAAAAGTAAATAACAGATAATGCAAATTTGATCAAATGAACCATTTTTGCTAAATTTCGTTTAATTTTTCAATATAACATTTCAATTAAAACATAAAAGGGAGCACAAGGCAAAGTTGGTGATACTGGACCAGCTGGAGAGCCCGGATCCAAAGTAAAATACTTATTTTTGTTCGTCAAATCACATTAATTTCGTAACGTTTTTATATTTTTTAATGTTTTAAATAATAAAATCAAGTCGTTGGTTGTTTCTACTAAAAATAAATTTAATAATACAATTTCTTTCAACTCATTCAGGGTCAATTAGGACCCAAAGGTTCTCCTGGACTAGTTGGGCCACCGGGTGTTCCTGTTAGTAATTCATCCAATAATGATCGTTTCTTTCATTTGCTTATTTATTAATTTTTCCTTTAACTGCGTTTGTATTCAATTATTTGTTTAATTAATTTTTTATACATTTATGCTGTTTTTATACACTTTTATATTCCATTGGGATAGAGCAATCCGCACGCGTTGTTCTTGCATATAGGCCTTGTTTATAATTGCTAGATTTGAGAACCCTTCACTTCAGCGTTGCTTAACCTATAAGCTGTAATTTTTTTATCTTTTTCGTTAGAAGCATTTGTGTTAATTTGTTTTTTTGTTTAATTTACTATTGTATTCACTTTGTTACGATTTTTGAAAACTAGGGAGTAGTCGGTGGAACAGGCCCATCTGGTGCCACAGGAGACAAAGGAAGAAAGGTAATTTTTGCTACTATTGTTTTAAATAACATTTTTATAATTATTTGACAAAAATGAAGTTAGTTTTATTAAACTAATTAAAAGTGCAACTTATTATCAGTCATCATTACCTCAGTCGCTTGCATTGGCGCTTTATAAATGATATTTATTATTATTATTTATTATCAGTTTGGACTATTTTCTTACCTTTTTAAGAATGGGCGGTTGTCGAAAATTCGATTAAAGAGTAACAACTCCTTTTTAATTTAACCCGCTAGATTAAAATCAGTTTTTGTAAGTTTTTGGCAACAGATTTATTTCAGTGGCTGGTGTTGATGGGTTTCGGCCGAAAATCATTTATTTTAAAAAATGTCATCCTTAACCGTTTTTCACAAAAGTTAATCAAAATACAATCTTCAAGTTTATATGAGTTTTCAATTTCATCACTAGCTTGCACGGATGGGCAGGTAAACAGCGATTCGGTTGAAGATTGATCATTCTCTTTTAGTCTAGCTAGACAGCCGTTTCTAGCCTGTTTTATTTTGGCTTTTTAGTCTTATAAGCCAACCAGATTCTACCAAATTCCCGAATTAGTTAGTTTCGTGCCAATGAATCGGTCTTTATCGAAAATCTTTTGCCTTTGAAAAATATCACGGCTCTTCTCTTACTGCCGATGTGTTCAATAGTTGCCTCGCCTATTTTTTAAAATATGTTATTTATTATCTCAATTGCCGTTGTTTTTACATTTTTATAAGATTTTCAATAATTTTTTATTATTTTATTTTTTATTTTGATGGAGCAGCATTTTAATTATATTTCGCTAAATTACTGAAAAACGTTTTTTAATTATTGTTATGTACAATATAATGGAGATTATACAGCTCATATCGCCAGAAAAACACATAAATACATTTTATAACTCATTAAAAACATCCTGATTATTTATCAGTGCAGGATGAAATTAAATTACATTTAGTAATAATAACGCAGTTCACAGTTTAGTATATGAGATGCACTAGAGCAAGGTTGAAGCAATGTAAGACTTAACATTCTATTCATTCACTGACTTAATTTTAAAAAATATTAACTTTTTTGTGTAGGGTGAGAAAGGTAATCCCGGATTGCCAGGCATTCAAGGAGTTCCAGGCGCACAGGTAGCGTTCCACAAAAATTCATTTTTAGTATTTTTATAACGTTCGTGTAAATTAATCTTTCATAAAAGTCAAACGTTTGAAGTATGAAGTAAGTAATGGAAAACATTTGAAACATTAAAGGGAGAGCCAGGAGATGATGGTCATTCCGGGGCACCTGGACCACTTGGACCTCGAGTTGGTTCCAAAAATTTTTAACAACAAGACGTCCTTAATAATTTTATGTAAACGTTAAGATTTTGAAATAATAATTAACAAGGGTGATGTCGGAGTTCAAGGAATCACTGGAGTTGTTGGTCCCGATGGACCCACTGGATTCAAAGGACAGCCTGTAAGTTAATTGAGAAATTTAATCACTTATCAGAAAAAATTTTTAAATTTAAATAACTAAAAATGTAATGTATATATATATATATATGTGTGTGTGTGTGTGTGTGGTGTGTGTGTGTGTATGTGTGTGTGTATAGAGAGAGAGAAGTTTCTATTTATTTTTTATTTTTCTAAAACTAATTATGAATTTTTTATAATTTAACAATCTTATTAAAACGACAATGTAAAAAACACTTTTCTCTTTTGCACCACTTCATTTTGTAATTTTTTATATTTTATTTTAAAATATTTTATTTTAGGGTCCACTCGGTCCATCTGGAGATGACGGTTTACCAGTAACTTAAACTTTTATATTTTTGCGATAATTTGTTTAAACGTATTTAAAAATTTCATTTTATTCTACATGCATTGCTCAAAAATAAATATTTTTTTTAAATTCTAGGGTCCACCAGGCCCACCTGGACCCCCTGGACTACCTGTGAGTTTTGATTTTTTGGTGTCTAAAATTTAATTATATGATTTTAAATCGACAAGGTTGAAAAAATGAAATTGTTTTCAACGTAGGGCGTTCCAGGATCGCGTAGAGGAACTCCTAACATTCACTACGCCGAGTTTTTCACTAGAACGAAACCCATTCCTGACAATTTATTTGTAAGTTTGTTTCACAAATTAAATTATTAATAGCAATACGTTAGGTAATTGAACAACTATCAAATATAGTGCTATTAAAAACAATGATATCATTTACCCTGTAGTTTGATGATCCGAAAATTGTCTCCGCCAGTATGGATAAAGATATGTTGGTAAGCTGGGCTCTTTTTAAACATATTTTTTAAATGACAAATTTTTAAAGGTTAATAATGTTTAATATGGTAATTTTTCTGTTCCTAAACTGCACAGAGTGGAAGACATGCATTTGAAGAATTAGATAAAATTCGCGATACTCTCAGCAGTTTGAAACATCCAAAGGGAACCAAACAGTCTCCGGCAAGAAGTTGCAAGGATCTTTTCCAATCTCACCCAGAACTTGCGAGTGGTTAGTTCAATATATTTCACAATTACCATTTTATTTTTGCTAGAAGGTTCATCTAAATTGTCCCTCATCCAGCGTTTAATTTTTTATCTGCATAACATACATACAAAATTAACTTTTCAAATTAGACAATTTAAAAAAAATATTACGTCGTATATCATGAGCAAACAATTTTCTATTTGAGTCACAACACGTAAGCCACCTGTCAATTTTTATGTTCAACGCTGCTCTTTTTTTCATATTGAAAAGGCAAAATTCTTGTTAAAAAATTTACATTACAAATAATTAGCCATGATAACGATGGAATAGAGTTGGATCACTGCATAGGACCTCAGAACAGCATACTCTGTTTTCTTTGAGTCAACTTTTTCCTGAACTTACTTTTTTACATCAAATGAATTTTATGACATCTTTGAATGGCATGGTTTTATGGCAATTGAGTACACATAACGTGTGTTGTATGATTACAGACACTCCACACATGAACAATCAAACAAATAAATTTAATAAAATAACAATATTTGTACTTGTACTTGAACCAGTGTAGTTGTACTCGATATCTAAGTAGCAGCACTGATACCCGAAAAGTTTTTTCCGGTACTTGTATTCGTACCTGCGACCGAGTTTCTTGTGCATGTTCTCAATGAAAATAAACTGATGTGTCTGATATTTTCTAGACTGCCTAATTGTGTTTTGTTTCTAACAACATGCAATCTATAAGATTACGGTTGAGTCATGGCCTGTAGTAGAATTATTACATTACTATTCAAGCACAGATTAACAAATTTTCACTAAAGGTAATTTTTTCAAAAAAAATGTTCACATTTTAACTTTAAGGATTATATTGGATTGATCCAAATGGTGGCAGCAGCCTAGATTCAGTTCAAGTTTATTGTGATATGAAAACTAGAAGAACTTGCATCAATTCAAGGCTTGCTGAAGTTAGTGTCTTATATTAATTTAAATAATATCAATACAATTATCGAGCAATATAAATTTTGAGATTACCCACAAATTAAGATCGAAAAGAAGAAATGGCATACAGGAGAAACAAAGAGAATGTGGTTCGGTGAAGACCTCCGAGAAGGTGCACAGGTATACAGTCTATTTAATCCGCATTTGAAATTGCTTACTTCATATTGTTTCAACAATTCACCTTTTAGTTTGAATACAACATGAATGTGGTGCAGCTTACCTTCCTGCAACTGCACAGCTCATCAGCTTACCAAAACATTACTTACCACTGCAAAAACTCAGCCGTTTACTACGACAAAAAAATAAACAAATATGACAACGCGGCAATCTTCAAATCATTCAACGATATTGATCTTGTTCCTCTGAAGCCAGTTAAATTCCGATATTCAGTAACGTCTGATGAATGCCAAGTAGATATAATTTGTATTTTCAATATTGTTATTAGCTAAATATTTTAATATATACATATATATTAATGAGTGGAGCTCTGCGCATTGGAAATATAACCGAGCTAAGAATTTCGTGTGTAATTAGAAAAGTTCAATATATTCTAATTATTGAACTCTAAAAATATAACAACAATTTTATAATAATATGAAATTTGCAAAAACCTTTTGTGTTTAGTTTTGCGTAATATTCCTTTATCAGTTGGTCGCAATCTAAAATTAGGTAGCGAGAGGTTGGGTCATTTTTTTAAATTTCTTAAATTTTAAAACCAAACGTCAGGGCGCAATATATAACAAGAGGGCAGTTTTGATTCTTTTTATTGTAACAAATATTTATATGTAACAAATTTATTGTTTGTTCATAATAAACGAGAATATTGGTGAACAAGCCTTTGTAGAAAATTGAGTTGCAACGACCAATAATTTAAAGATAGAATATAACAAAAATAGAATAGAGACAACAACATGATTAAGAATGTCTATTGTGGCTGATAGCGCTAATATGGTAATATTGGGATTTGATGGTGGTAGAAAACGAAGTTGCAAAGAAAAAGCAATGTCATTTAATGAATACACAAATTTAAACTTTTTATATTAACGTATTGAGTTTTAAAAAATTTCAATGTCATTTTAGAGTCGCTAATTTAAAATTAATTGTTTTGAGTATTCTAGTAAAACTATTTATAATTTTTTTATGTTGTAAGGTGTCTGGAAAATTTTATAGGAGATAACTGCAAGAAATAAATTGAGTAGAACTGGTGAAACAGCGTATTTACAAGTTTTTTTTTAAACTGCCGAAGTTGCCGAATTATTTTGAAACGTTATTCGGAATTGTTTTCTTTAACGTCAAAATGTTTCTTTAGCTTTAAGAAATTATATAATGATATAGCAGGTGATTATTTTACTAAGCTTTTTATTACATTCTCATCACAGCATCGTAAAGAAGAGTGGGGTTCAACCGTCTTTGAATTCAAAACTAACAAGCCAAAAAGACTGCCTATTAAAGACGTTAATCTGGCAGACATTGGAGACAATCAGGCCTTTGGTTTTACGCTTGGACCCGTCTGCTTTTCATAAATCATAATTTTAATTACACAATAAATTAATTTAATTTATTCATATTATGAAATAGTGTTATGTTTGAATGTAAAAGTAACTACGGTTAGTTACTTTGTCGTTTTTATAACATTTCTAAATTGTGGTTATTTGATGAAATATTCCTTATATATCTCAATATTTTCACACGTCAGCACTACATGTGTATATGTGTGCGTATGTATGTGTATATTTACGTACGCATATATATATATATATATATATATATATATATATATATACAGCTGTCGCAAAACAATTCACTCAGTCGTGTTTTAATGTTCTAACACTACAATATTTCACACACATCTTAATAATAAATATCAAAAGGGTTAACGTCATCGAAATTTTTTCAAAAATGTCATCTCGGGCAATAAAAAGAGAAAATGAATTTAATTGAATTAATGTCTTCGTGTGGAATTTGTCAGAAAGATCAAACTTCCTAGATATCAACTAGGATATCTAGTCGCTATCAACACATTTTTTAATTTTCAAATTAAAAGTTTTTTCAAGTAATTTACTTAACCTGTTATAAAATGGATGTAAATACTTTTATAAAAAGATGATAGAAGAATGTGACCAATAGTTATCTGCTATTAAGTTCAAATGATAGCTGGTATAATAAGTGCTAAAAAATTATACCTGATATACTTTTATCAAATTTAAATGAAAGTTTAACTATCGGTATAAAAATTGAGATCATTCAGAAAACATGCAATTTATGCAATAAATATTTCCAGAAAAAAAAAATTTGTTCCACTACAATTTTCCAGATCACAGCAGTTTTAACGTCTACAATTTGTAAAACCAATTCAACATATTTAAGAAACAGTTCAAGTGACAAAGTTTCAGTGCTTTATCTTGGAAAAGTATTCGCATGGACAAATATAAAATTCGAATCAATTAACACCATTTTTTACAGTAGTGGTAAGCTATCTCAAAAACAAAACTGACAAAGTTGAATTTATTAGGAAGTTAGTTCTTGACTTAAGCAAATAAAAATCATAATTATTCCGTAAAATTTTAATGCGAGGATTATGATATAATATAAGAAGCTGATTACGTAGGTCAATTAAAAAGGTCAATTACACTCTTCCAAAGTTCAGAGGATTCAACAAAGCACACAAACATCGCATATGAATACATGCTAAACGACGCATCACACGAAGCATGTGATAGGCGGGGATCTTTTTATCATATTCAAACCCGGTTACTGCGAGACAGCACCAGGCGACCTTAACCATTAGACCACAAGCCGTTGTAGTGAATAGCAGTCGTCCAATTTAAACAACTTAAAAATAAAAACCGATGAAGACAAAATATGTAATTGTTTTATATTCCAAATGTTAGCCAGATTGTAGAAAGTGTAGAATAGTTTTATTGTTAACCTGTAACAAACAACCACCTCATGACTGTCCAAGTGATGATTAACAGAAGAAGAAAAGGTAAAAGTGAAGTAAAAAAGTAATAATACAAATTAATTTTTTAACATAGCTATTAGAATAAATAAAGCATATGTTTGCCCTTGTGTAAATCTAGATTCCAAAGCTGAACACAGTACTTTAACTTCGGTCGGACCAATGCTTTATGCAGGTTTAATTTGACTATCATGTCAGCATTTTACTGTTCATTTTATCATACCCAGAGCCCTGTTTGCAATTTTAGCTGCCTCTGTACATTGACCTGCTACCTTACCACTCTGATTAATTATCACCCCTAAATCCTTTCCTCTTCTCCATTTTTAGTGACGTGTTCCTAAGTTTGAATACATTTTTACTACTTTGCTCGTTCCCATATGTAAGCTCAGAACATGCCATTTTTCGGCCCATTTGTATAGTTTTTTGCTGGATTTTCAATATCTTCATGGTTGTCAACAGCAACACATAATTTAGTGTCATTTGCAAATTTTGAAATTTTAGCCTTAATTCCATAATCAATATCATTAATGTAAACTGCATATAGCAGAGGTCCTAATACGGATCCTTGAGAAACGTAGGGTTGTAACATCGCTCCAGCTTAAAATTTTTCACCTATACCAACTTTTTGCCGTCTATCCTTAATCAATTAAAAATTCTCTTGAATGCGTTTTTGTGATTCAACTTGCCTCTAATTATACCGATATTTCGTGTGTCAATTGTAAACTTAAACTTATCTTAAATTTTAAGATTTTCAATCACCATTTAATATCTTATATAGTTTAAGACTTAAGCCAAATAACTAGAATAAACTATGAGAAATCTTAAATAGTGTTTTTGAATTGGCTTTTTAATTTACAAATCGTTAAAAGATTTGTCATAAAAACCTTTCTAAATATTGTTTAAATTAGGCTGCTTCAAGTCCTTATAGCTAATTCAATTATTAATGTTAGGTTTTTAGAAATGATGATGGCGTTATAATAAGGCGTGACAAATTCGGTATCAGCTACATTTTGTTTTTGTTATCTGGGTTCAAATGTTTGTTTGAATGAAAGAGCGTTTGGACCCGAGAGATGTAAAATGAACTATAGATAACACCAAGATCACCATTACTTCTTTGCTACTACCATATAGATATATAAATTTGTTAGTACTTGAAGAAACCGGGAAAAAAAACCAGTCGCTATCCCATCCTTGCTATATCTTGTCGTTACCTGTCGCCTTTTCCACGTTAACGAACGGTGCCTGTTTTGCTAATCGTTGGTATCGTACGATTTCGTTTTACGTCCGTGTCTCATTGGTTGCTTTTTATTCCGGAATTTATTTTATTAAATAATTAGGTGGTAATCGTTGTAATGGCGAATTGCTCAAATTGGGAAGGTTAGTGAGAGCTCCTCATGTTTGTATTGTAGTATTGTAATTGTAATTGAATTGTAATCATGAATATAAATAAAAAAAATTAAAAAACATCATTCATATCAATTATCATGCATGATGATGATTGATATTTTTTAGCTTATGCAGGTATATGTGTTCTTTTAAAAGCCTAAAATAAAATCAGCATTATAAATTAAAATGTAACCATTATTATCAAAATCAACGTAATCGTAATATAATGTTATAAGTTATATTAAATTATAAATTTAAATAATATTATAATTTTAAATATAATATTAAATTATTAATTAATTACATTTATAATAGTTATATTTTTTTAAGTTATATTTATAATATTTAATTTATAATATAAGATAAGACATACCAAATCAATGAAGTGATTGAATTATTAAAGAAAAAATTTAATAAAAACTTAATACTTGATTTGTTAGGAAGGTACTCATGAAAAGGTTTTTTTGCCCATTGAAATTTTGTAAATATGACTTGACTAATTTTTTCAAGTACAAAATGAAAAGTTTTAATCATAATATTTCTCTTCTTTTTTTATCCAGTAATGAAATGAAACAAAAAAGTCCATGATTTCTATATATATATATATATATATATATATATATATATATCGCTTTTGAATTTAAAACAGCATAGTTATTACTTTTAAATATCCAAGTGATTTGTTTTTGTTTCATTTGATTCTGTGTCTAAATCTGTAAAACTTACTATTTTTTTGCATTATTTATAATATAATGTTTAGCTGATATAGTATAGGAATTGAAGTGTATTGGTTAAGTGATACAGCTTTAATTTTAAGACCCCTTTAGTTTAAATAAAACAATAACCTCCATTCCTATGAATTATGTTCAATTAATAGCTGTAATGTTGTATTAGCCCACTTTTTGATATCGTTATTTTTTTAATTGAAATATATTGTTTACTTATAATTATATTGGATTAAGACTGTCAGAAATGCAATTATTGATAAAAATCACAGCTACTTCGTCGTTAGATAACTTCATGTCCAAAATTGCTTTGCAAGCACGTAGTTCATTCTTTGTCCTTGTTATTAGCTCTTTTTTGGTTTTAAGTTCATGTTCCAGTCGATCATTGCGGTCATCCACGATGTTGCATCCAGTCCATGGTTTTTTAATAAATTATTGGATTATGACTGTCAGAAATCCAATATTTATTAAAAAACCACGGACTGGAAGCAAAATCATGGACGACCGCGATGATTGATTGGAACATGAACTTAAAACCAAAAAAGAGCTAATAGCAAGGACAAAGAATGAACTGCGTGCTTGCAAAGCAATTTTGGACAGGAAGTTAACTAATGCCGAACATGCTAGGATTTTTATTAATAATTATATGTATAAGCTATGGACCAACGATTTTAAATTTATAAAAATCTCTCTATGATCTAATATTTTTAATTTGAAATCATTATTTAAAATTGTGTTGAGCACATTTTTTAAGATTATTTTTATTACAAGCCTGCCCATTTATTAGGTACAAAAATGGGTCTAAACAAGTTACATTGTTACAAGTTACAATATAGATGTAAACCTTATAGATTTTTTTGTGCTGATATCAATCAATCTTCGTTTAGCATCTAGAGACCCAGTTCTCTCGAGGTAGGACATTGTTTTCTTTGCCATCAATTTTCTGTGCCAAATTAGGCGATCAGTTGTATCCATTTCATTTAAATTTAGAGCTTTCATGTCTTGCTCGATTGTTTGCGACCAGGACTTCTTTGGACGGCCTTTGGGACGTGTGCCAGGTACTTCAACATCTGCAAAAGAAGTTATGGCACTGTTTCCACTTCGTTTGACATGAACAAACCCCCGCAGACGGTGTTGCCGGCATTCGTCCTTTATATCATCTAAACCAGCACGATGCAAGATTTCGGTAAATTTGATGTGGTCCTTCAGACTAATTCGTTGCATCCATCTGAGCATTTTCATGTCAGTTCGTTGAAGTTGTTCCAGTTTGGTTGTCAATGGCCATGTTTCTGCCCCATATAACAAGACCGGACGTATCACAGATTTATAAAGTCTTGATCGTAGTGGTGGTGGGATGTCACGCCGCATCAATATAGAGGCAAGGAGATGCCATTTATTCCAGGCTGCACATTTGCGTGCTCGAACGTCAGCTTCAGCTGTTTCATCAAGAACATCCCATAGATATTGAAACATTGTGACTTTCTCTACCTTAATGGCTTCAAAAACATTGCTATTTTGAATTTGTTTTTGTGGATTGATGCCAGCAGGACAGACAAAATTGGACACTTTAGATAAAGTACCAATTATTTTTGAACAACGTTTGTGGCACCACTGGTTACACTGCTGACACTTGATTGAATTGTTACCTACACCAGCTTTATTAACTGAACAGGGCCATCGTCCAGTAGTTGTGGATTGGATGGGTTCACCAATGTTCATTGCTTTGGTTTTGCTGGTTTAGGTTTAGGTTGTCATCAGCATATATTAGATTCCAAATGTCACCAGTGCATATCGGTTTTGTGATTTTTTCCATCACAGTTATAAATAACAGTGGACTGAGAATCGAGCCTTTCTTAAGTTTGAAGACTTTCTAGACCTTTTTAAAGATTTGGTTTCAATATCCCCCAGACTCCGGTAGAGCAAGGAGTCTAACAATTATATCATCTTTTTAAACTTCCATCAGTAATTGATTTGTTTTGAGTGATTACCTTTTTTTTATATTTTTTGACTGATTTATTATTTAATGAAATGCTGTTTTATTTTTTTCATTGAATGGTGAACAAATATTAGTGTTGCTAATTTTTTATTTAAATTTTGGTTTATTGACAAAATTTTTCAGATGGTTCAGATTACTTACTAAAACTCTTTATTAATTTGTTGGCAGACAACATATTGAAATTTGAACAAATTCAATTTCACAGGATTCTGATTAAAAAGTTTCACCTATTTATTTTTTTAAGATGCCAAAGACAAACTCAGAAATTATAGAGAAGATCAAAGTAGAAAAAGTGAAGAAGTGGTAGAACTGTGGAAAGAATTTTTGTCTGCTTCCAAACATAAACTTGGCAATGAGGGTATTATATTACATTATACTACATTGATTAAAATATTTTATTATTATTACTTATATCTCTTATGTGCGCAAATAATTTAAAAGTAAACATCCGTTGGAAATTTTGCAAGATAAAGTAATGTCAGTAAAGGGTTAAGAATGCAGTCCAAGTTAACAGCGGTTGACGAAAATTTTATGGTTTGGCCATCTAAAACATCTTAATTTTAGAAAGCTGCTGCCATGCTGGTATTAACACTAATTGAGTTTTGCTTTGGTCAAATTAATTGGTTAATTACCACTCTCTTGTTTATAATGAACGCAGTTGATGAATCTATCCAAAATAACTGGAAATTCATGGTCGGAACATTATCAGCGTAGGCATCATCACGAAGAATCGAAAGTACTCGTTTTTATTAGGACATCAGCTGAGTATAGTGGAAATAAAATAGGTTCTGAACTTAACTGAATTCTTGAATTGTCACAGCTGTGTTAACTTTTTTAGTGCTTGATTTTATATTTCCACTTTTAAAAACAAGGACGTTGGCAACGAGTTAGCATCCTTTAATTACTTATTAGCGTTATGTTTTTGTATATCATTCACATTTTATTATTTATAACTTTGTTATTTTTTTAATAATTTAGAAAATTGAAACTATTTAGTTGTTTGTTCACTCTATTATGGTTTAGCTCAAATTTGTTTGTTTCAACTATTTTATTGTGAATAAATTTTATAATATTCTATTTACAGAATGGGTTTTGGTTGAACAAGTCTGCATTGCTGCTTGTGATTGTGGTGACTTGAAAGTCGCTCATGTAAATTTTTAAACTGACTTTTCATTCAGTTAATTGATAATATTATAATTTTTACAATAATCCCGCCATGTTTACTCTGCGTCGTACAATCAGCTGTTTTCTTATTGAGACTCCCAGACAGTTGTGCCTCAACATAAGTCCCACAAAAAAATTTCGTGAAAGGTTTATGATGCGTTGAATGTGCAGGTAGGTTATTTTAAAACGAAGGGAATAAGGTAGTAGTAGTAATAATGTCATTAAAAAAATTTACTTTTTGAATAAAAATAAATTGGTAGATGAAAAACGTAGGCAAAAAATTTAATGTAAAAAATTAATTCTTGAACAGCTGGATTTTTATTTCAACTAATTACGAAAGTGAACAAATGGAATAAAATTATGAGGGCGCCTGAGTCACAATGCCTAGAAATAAGAATGAAAAAACATATTCACATACAAATTCTCTTGAAACATTCAATTATATATGATTTTACATTCTAATAGTAATGAGAGCTCTGTATTTCTTATTTAAAATGCATTTCTATCAATCATTTCGTAGATCAGTGACTTGTAATTACTTTTTAAACTTTCCTCAGGAGTGCTATCAAATCTTGAAGCAACAGTTTTCAGGCAGTTTGCGTGTCGCCTATTTGCACGGCTTAATTCTTGAAGCAGATGGATGGTAATTTTTTATTATTTTTTATTTGTTGTTTTCAGCGATGTTTTATTTTGAAAGCCAAATGAATCGTATGCAAAATTTTTGTTTCATTAATTCTACGTAATTAATTTAATTTAATTTGTTGCTTTTTGTTTGATAGAAAGTGGAGTATTGTACTTTAAAGTACGGGATATTTTTTGAAATTCTATTTATTTGATACAATAATTTGATTTGTTCACTCTTCCAAATTTTTTGATTTATTTTCAAACAGTTTTGAAAAAGCTGAAGAATTATACACAGACTTGTTAAAACAGGATGAAACAAATTCTGTATGTACATTCACTTCTCGTTTGTTTATTTGTATGTTCGTTTATTTATGCATGTTGTTGAATGTGTGCGTTTGCAAAGGAGTCATGTTCGCTAATAATATAATTTTTAGTCTTTTCTTTTAAAAAGATAATTAAGATATTCTAGAAAGAAACGGTCATATAGAACTGTTTTCTACGTCCTACCTTGGGGAACAGGGTCTCAGGACGCAAAACGAAGATTGATTGATTGATTGATTGATATAGGACTGTTTTCATTTTGGTTAAAAAATGTGACTGAGTCACTGAAAGTCTGTCAACCACATTGTTACCTCTGAGCTAAGGCATGAGAGCATGTAAACAAAATTGATAGTTTTTCAGAATTTTCAAATCTTACAGACAATTTTCACAGACTTATTCCATTGTTAGAGCACACTAAGAAACTTCACGAATGTAATTCTTTGTTAACCACGATCTCTTCTCTTTGCAATGCAATATTTTAAGTAGATTAGATTTTCCATTCCTTCCTTCTGCATGATGTGACCAAAAAACTTTAACTGCCAGTCAGATTATTTGTGATAATTTTCTCTTTTCATAACCAGACTGCTTTAATACATCCTCATTGGAGGTATGAGTGGTCCAACTAGTTTTTATAATTCTTCTCAAAAACTACATCTAGCAGCATCAATCTTTTTTTCCATTTCTTTAGATATTGTTCGGATTCAGAACCGTAAGTGAGCACAGGAAAAATATAACACTCTAACAGTTTGAATTTTGTTGATACTCTGATATTAATGCTGGTGAGGATGTTTTTCATTTTATTATATTGTTCGGAAAGGAATTTCGTTTTTTCTCGACAGAGAATTTAATTGTATTTTTTCACAGCTAACTTCACACTTAAGTTGCATTGTCATTATATGTTTTGGCAGCTGATATAGCAAGGTCTGTGTGTGAATAAGTTCAATTGATTTTACGCAGTAGTTTTTGGTCGGTGCCCTTTGAAATATGGAGAGCAATAAGCAGCATTTATGTCATTTTTGCTATGGAAAAGGTATAAATGTTGTTCAAGCCAGAAAGAAATTAACCGATGTAGATGGAGAAGATGTGTTGACAATATGCCAGTGCCAAAACTGGTTTGCAAAATTTCAATTTCTATGTCCAAGATGCACCACGTTCTGTTGAAGCTGATAAAGACGCGATAAAGGCCTAACCCCAACCTATCAACTCTATAACTAGGATTGGTGGCCTTGCTGCTTAATCCAACAAATAGATTATTTAACCTCAAATCTCAAATTTATCTTTTTTTATACACAATAGAATGAGTCTATTAACACGCGAAGATTTAATTTGAGTTGAGTTAATGGAGGCTAAAGATTATAAGCAAGTGAGGAGGAGTATTTTTAGTAACGAGAAAGTTTATGTGGAGCTACTGTGCAAATCTGTTTTGCATATAACCAGTGGCGTGGCAATGTAAGAGGGGCCCAAGTTTGAAGCCCATAGTGGGGGCTAAATGTTTTGACCATTGCAGCAAGTTAAAAAAAATTAATTCTCGCCCAATAAGAAGCACATTCATATGTTAGCAAACATTGATTGAATCGACACAAGTATAAATATTTATTTATCCTTTGAATCTTCGCACTGGTCAAAAAACTTTTTGTCAACATTTTTGGCTCTTAGATTGCTAACGGAAATTGCTACTAAAGTATTTATTATTCATATTTCATTGCCATAGAATTAAAAATTTTTATAGAGACATATTGTTCGTCTGTAAGAGCCGCTCCAAATGTCATTTTTAACCGGTTTGGCATCTAGAGTACTTACTGAATGCGCTAATACAGTGACATCCTTCAAACAGTTTTAGTGAATAATATACTCAGAAATGTTGCTTCAGTACACCCGTTTTTTCTATGGGTTGTATCTTTTTTGAAGTACAATTGGATTTGGATAACGGAAAGAATCTGTGTAAGGTTCTTCATAATTCAAAGTCACTATGATACTTTTATGATACAGACACTTTTTACAATCTAGGAACAGGACTGCTCTCTTCTAAGTTGAAGTACATCTGGCGGTATTTAAATTGTTTTTGAGTTAAACCGTTTTTTTTTTATAAAAAGCTAGTGTTTTTTGCTTCAGATATTTTAAGTATCAAATAATTTGAAACATGCAATTATTGTTGATAGTTATAAACAGCCAAAACAATCATACTTTTGTTCTTCCGCTTTGGCGAATGTTTTCAGAGTAATTGTAAGGTCAACTTCTGAAAATTAATCTTTTAATAATTAAAAGACCTGATTGAAATATGTTTGTTTTTCTATTATGTATTCCTATTCCTATCCCTACTATCCTGCTGTTATCTTGTTTCTCAAGCTAAGCAGTTTTAATTTATTTTCAGTAAATTTTAATTTTTCATAGCTTGCCAGAAAAAGAAAAATTGCTTTACTTAGAGCTCAAAACAAAATTGCTGAATCAATAAAAGAATTGGCGGAGTATTTACAAAGGTAACCATTTGAAGAAATTTATATGTAATTTTTATGAAGCCTCGAACAGAAATAATTTTGATTAATAATAAATATATAATAATCCTGACTAAATATTGATTTGTAAAATATTTAAAAAATCGAAATATATTAAGTGAAATTAATGATAAACTAAAATACTACAGCAACGAAATGTTCTTTTCAAGTGTCCCGAAGTAGCGTGTTAGAATCACAAATGAATTAATAAAATCTATTTAAAATCAAGGGAACAGAAATAATACATTAAACAAAATTATTCACTTTATTTATTTTCACACCTTTCGCTTTTTATCAATTTTGTCAAAGTTCGATCTTTTGAGAAAAAAAGTGCAAAATTACATTACATGTACCAAGATCAGGATCGCAGAGGTCCCAGCCAGTTATGCTTAAAAATGTGCCGTGCGTTGATTCATACGTGTATGTCTCTCATATTTCTTGGTATCGTGCCAGTATTCATTAATTGTTTATGTTTCAATGTTATAATTTTTTGATTTTGAACTGCAATATTTTAAATGAATTTTGTCAGATACATGAGCGACTTTGAAGCCTGGTTAGAAATGTGTGATTTGTATCTGTTGGAGATGGACTATGCGAAAGCAGCTTTTTGCATGGAAGAATTGTTGCTTGCAAATCCCTACAACCATTTACTGCATCAAAAATATGCTGAAGTTAGTAATTTTACATCTTTCAAAATTGATTGTTGGCTAAAAACTTTAAGAAGAAAAAAGTGAAACTTTGTGGTGCTGTCCATTTAACTAAACAATATAATTCTTAATATTTCATAAGGATAACTGCTTTCAAACTTTTTATAGATTTTGTAAGTTAAAAAGTTGAGTTCTGGTTTGTCTTTTGATTTAGTAACAGTTGCTTTGATATATTTATTATTTTTATGATTGCACACATTTCTTATCAATTAGTGCTTACATTTAATTTAAAGTTAAATGACCATTCTCACATGGCAATGTTCATTTGCAATGTATGCGTTTTATTCTAGTTTGGTTGGTCCTCAATGTTTTTGAAGCATATACGAATCATTGTTTTGTATATGCACAATAATTATTTTTTTATATACTTATTATTTTTTTAACAATATTTTATTTTTAACAGATTAAATATACTCAAGGAGGAACAGATAATATGGAAATATCCAAAAAGTATTTTGCACAATCGTTAAAGTTAAATCCAAACAACATGAAATCACTATTTGGTTTCTATATGGTATGAATATTTTGTTATATTTTTGTATGCATGGCAACATGATTATCATTAATACTAAGTAAAATATATTGTACCATATATAAGTGTTAGGAAGAAACATTTTGCTTTTCTTTTTATTATTAGAATAAGGCAAAACTGTATTTTTGATTTTGCCTAGAAATTTATTGCTGTTTTGTCATTCCCTATTTTGTTGCATTGGCCAGAGTTCACGTTCACCTAAATATATGCATCATCACAATACCTAAATATACATCATCTACTTATCCTATTTTATTTTGTGGTTTAGCCATTTGGATTGATTGAAACTTTGAGATGGTGTAAAAATTTTTTTTCCCTTACCTCTACATGGCACCAGTTCTCCAAGTACTTTCGAAAAACCAGTTAAAACTGATAATCCATTATCTAACGAACTCAGAACTTGTTACCGGTCAACATTTTTCTAATTTATTTTGCACACTATCCCCATCGACTCTATCTTCTGATTGTGGCTATAGGCTCGTCACCCAGCAAATCTGCTAACATGGATACCAATTTAAAGAACTTTAATTTTATAAAAAATTTGAAAATTGAAACATGCAATTTATCTGAATATTAAAAAATTAAATTTTACATTATTTTCTATATTATTTTATTGCACAGGCTTCTACACATTTATGTCAAAAAAATGTTGCTATAAAATCAAAAAAGGATAAAAATTTTGAGTATGCAAGCTTTGCCTGGAAAAACATTGTCAAAAAATATCAGGTTTATTTGTCTTTCAAACAAAATATTTTTCATTAATATCTTTTTAATTTGTTACAAAGGAGATCGTTAACGAAGAAAAAGATGTGAGTGATGAAAGTTCTTGTGAGATGCTTTCGATTTTATTTAAAAATCTTCAAGTCAATCCAACTTCGTAGAACGCTTACAGTCGTAATGTGAATTTGTTTATTGTGTCTGTGTATGGGTGAATTTGTGTTGTTTGTTGAGGAACTTTACCCAAACTCATGTCGTTAATTTTTAAAATTTGCTCGTCAAATAAAATTTATTTGAATGAGGTTGTTAAAAAGTTCAAAATTTTTATTTATTTTGTATTTTCGGTGTTCAAAAACGGTTATTGCAACATCTTGTCAAAAATCGACTAGTTAACTTTTCATTTCTGTCCCTCTATAAAACATGTATAAATAAAACAATATTAGTTTCAGATTAGTAAATTTGAAATACGTTAGGGTTAGAATTAAAGGTAGAGAAATCAAAGTACCTTTAACATTTAAACTTTGAGCATTTAAAAATTGTTAACTTGTAGCGAAACGCTAAATTGACGTTCTCCGTCAGCATAAACATAACTATCAAGTCGTCTCCCAATCTACATACCAGGAAAAGACCTTCATCACAAGGCACCTCAAATATATTAGCACTTAAGAAAACTTTATCATTACTGAACTAGTTTTTACTTATTGATCACCTCACTTTTATCGATCACCTCACTAAATCATCATTTAGTCTATTAATAAGTCATCAAACACATTAATACTCATTAAAACTTTTTCACTCACAGGTCTAGCCATTATTTATCGACCACCTCAATATTTACAATGGAAATGTTTTTTAAAAAGACAAATTCATATTTTTAATGCTGTAACTGCTGTAATGATTATGCATGGTAAGCAGGAAAGTATACTTCTTGCTTTGTGCGTGGTAGGCGTAAAAGTACAGTTACGAATCTTTGACATGCTAGGCATAAAAATATACTTTGATGAACTATTTTAACATTGGTGTAGGCATGAAATTACACTTGCATAACAGTTAGGGTAACTATATATATATATATATATATACATATATATATAGATTTTTATTTATATAGATATATTTAAATTTCAAATATTTAAATGTTAAAGGTATTTTGCTTTCACTAACTTTAATCTTTAACCCTCCCCAGGACGTATAATCTATAACTTTCTAAGTATATATATATATATATATATAGATTTTTATTTATACAGATATATTTAAATTTCAAATATTTAAAGGTTAAAGGTATTTTGCTTTCACTAACTTTAATCTTTAACCCTCCCCAGGACGTATAATATATAACTTTCTGAGTTCGTACCTTCATTATTAATTTAAGTTCACTTTTAAGTCTATTTACACTCACTTCACATTCTCACAAATATAATTGCAAGCGTAGTCTGACTTGTATACCTTTTGCCGGATTAACTTCTTTAAGTAAAATTTATTCTTTACATTTAGGAATCGGTGAAAGTTGTTGGCCTGTAGTCACCTCTGAATAATATGCCAACTCCTACTTCTAAATCATCTTCAAGGGTTGGTTTGTTATCATTAAAAAAGTCGCCCTTTAAAAAAATTAGCTGTCGTCACCTGAAAGAGCTGCAAGATGGTTTATCTCATTATTTCTCATTAGAGTCAAAATCTGTTCGGCGAACTAAAAGGCACCCAACCACAAACAAACTCAATGTACAACACTCCTCGTCGATTAAACCAGGTTCAAGTTATTGCACTAAGACTAACACTAAGAAGGTAACAAGCATCAATGAAAGCAAAAACATTGTAACAAGAGCATCAGTTGATAATAGAACCAGATCATTTTCTCCAAATTTGTGTTCTCGTTCAATTTTAAACAAAGGAAAACCTATTTCATTTGATAGAGTTTTTGTTAAACTTAAAACAATGGCAGATGAAAGAAAATGTGCTAAAAACAAACGAGTTTTCTTAAAAGGAAAAGACAACAAATTTACAAAATCAACCTCAAGGGTTATTCACACAAAATTGCAAAGAAAAAATCAGGTTAACAATTTATTGATTGCAAATGGTTCAATAAAATTTTGCTGTTTCAATTCATTGATTGTGTGTTACCAAAATGACAATAAAACATTTGTGTCAACTGCATGGTATAAACTAAATTCAGAGGTGTAAAGATAACAGATTCATCAGGTTTAATGACCCTTAGTGTTATAAAATTTTGAGGTTTTTAAACTAGAACTTGTATTAATGGTTTAAAACTGGATTGTCTCATCTATGAAGAGTCTTTTAGCAAAACCATACAAGTTCACATTTTTCAAAGTACAATAGAATGATCATATGTAATAACTGAAGATTTGTAACTGTTCATCTTTTTTTTTTACAAAAATAACCATAAAACTTATAGAAATCTAAACTCAGCAAATATTGTTTGATTTTAAATTCAGAATGGCTTTTTGTTTAAATTTAAAAATTTAAAGTTATTTATGAAATAACTAAATAAGATGTTAAATTTATGATGTTTTTTAAAAAAAGATAGTTCTTTGACCATTTTAAAAGTAATTTACAATTCTATATAAATATATTTGTATAGAAACCTCAATTCTTCAAAACAATTGCAGGAATCCGTCACTTAAAAAATCAATTTGCTCTTGCCAAGAAACATTTATTTTTATATTCAGAATGGTTTTTGCTCATATTTAAAAGTTTACAGTTGATTAAAAATAACTTTAAATAAAATATTGAATTTGTGATGTTTTTAAAAAAGGAGATGGTTCTTTTACCAATTTAAAAGTTATTTACAATTCTGTTCAAATCTAAGCTTATGCCAATTTTATGGCTTTTGCTGAGTCTTAATTAACAACTAAAAATATTTGATTCTTTGAAAATATTCAAATTATATTCAAATATTATTTAAAATATGCTTATTACTTGAACATTGTATATATGCAAATGTACTAAGTACCACTTTACATTATTATGCCATTAAACTATGCACTAATGTCGTTACTGGTCTAAATCGTCAAATGAATTGAAATAAAAAGATGGCCATTATTTTAATAGAGTGGAAGTGAGTTAACTGGCCACTGATTAATGCTTTCAGTGGCTTATGAGGACAAAACTTTCAGACTTTGAATCAAATTCATAATTTAGTTCATTCGACTCTAATGTTGAGATGCATGCTTGCACCCTGTATGTAGACTGGAATAGCTATATTGTATCCTACTTTTTTAATTTATATGAGTTTACACATTAGTTTACTCTACGTGCTTCTAATGTTCTGCAAAATCAACATGTTGACATTATAAAATATTCCATCCAGGTGCAGGCCCTGCAAGATGGACTTTCCCAGTTTTTTTTTACCAAAAATCGTTTTAGAACAGCTAGTAAATTTTACAATTCTTCCAACGATTGTGAAACAAGAAATGCAGAAAATTTGTTTTCTTATGAAAAAATTCGGACAAGAAGTAAGCCAGAAGCTTCTGAAGATGATACTTGCCTGAATAGCACAAAGAGTTCTAATAAAAAACATAACATGTTTAAGCAACGTAACTGTAAAAAAATTTTGATAGTAAAAACTAAAAATAGACTTAAAAAAAGGAATAAATTTTGCAATCAACCTGATACAAACAAACCTAGACAACTAATTAGTTTGTTCGATGGTCTTTCACATTTGTACATTACAGAGGGTCTAAGAGCCAGAAAAGGTCTCACTTTTTATAAAGAAAATACATTCAAAAATGTTAAATCCGAGATTCCCAAAAAGGAAAAAGAGGTTTCAGATACTGTGAGTTGTCAAACTGATGATCTGAGTAGTGCCAGTTCGAAACAATTTGAACAGTCTTTATACAGAAAAAATCACAGTCTTCTTATGACAAGTAAGATATCAGTTTCTTCTATACTTCATTTTGTTATTTTAACTAAACTGTTTTAATTTTTATATTTAGTATTTCTTTTTAAATCAGACTGGTTTATGTAGAAGGTATGTAAAGGTGCAGGGAATATTTGTTTATTCATTATTGCATTTTGTTCAGAACTAGCCCAATTTAGCTAAATATGAACTCACTTGTAATATAAATAAATGATGGATAAAAATATCTTGAAGATGTGTAGGGGGAGAACAGAAGAATGGTTGACAGACTTCATGTGTTGTTGAACATGTTAAGTAAGTTAAGTTAAGATGTAATTTTGAATCAAGTTAATTGACCAGCATAAGTCAACTTAAATTAGCATATTGTTCAACCATTAGCATCAATTAGTTTATTTGAATCCTTATATTTTTAAAAGCATTTGTTTAAAATGGTGAAGGAACTATGATATTTTACATAATTTTTATAGAAAATAATTTTATGCTGTATGTAATTCTGTTCATAAAAGAAATTAATTATTTAAATATTTTAGCTCAATTGTTTAAATAATTAATTTTTTTCAATTAAAATATATTCAAGATGCAGTTACATAATGAAATAAAGATGTCAAACGTCACATTTTGAATTGAAGCCATTCTTCAAAAGATAGAGCTAACAATTGGCATCATTTGAATAAGAACAACATTTTAAAATATCCGAAAAGCATACAAATCAGAAAAGAGTTTAATTATAACATTTTACAAAGGTAAAATGGTTAATTAAGGTTTTTAATAAATTTAGTTATTTATTTTGCAAAATTCAATGCATACCAGCAATTTGTCGACTTGTAGAAAAGTTGTTAGCATTACAAATAAAATTTAAAAAAATAAAAAACTAATTTGTCGGTTAGCTGTAACAATATTTTCATCATAGCCAACCGTCACTTTAATACTTAGTATGTTCGATTTCAAATTACTTAAAAAAATGGAAACTAATACTTTCTACTTCCACAAATCAAAACTACCTACCACCCACAATCTTCATCAACGCAAACATAGGTACCACGTCACCACTCAGTCAACCTATCAAGATGAAACCTTCATTCTATGACAGCTAAAATGTCTTTATAGTCAATAACATTTGTCATGCTTTAATTTTTTGCTATTTATTATCATAATTATTTAATATTTATTTATTAGTATTTCAACTCATTGCTTTTTAACTTATAAAAAAAACTCAAAATCTCACTCTTTTATTTTAAATGATGTAGCTCATTTTCATTCTTCTTCTGTTTATTTTCTCAAATTTTGATGTATTTCATTTTGCAAGTTGCATGAGGCTTATTAGATATGTATGCTGAGTTATGATTTTTTAAAGAATATTTTAATACAAATTTTCTTTTTGTATATTAACGTTTATTTAATGCAAAAAAATGCTCTTCGACAGATGAAGGTGATAGTTAATGTTAATTTTTTTTTATTAAATTGGAGAGGAAGGAATGATAATGAGTTGATGGAAAAGAGAAGAATTTGAACGAATTTACATCTAAGTTTAATCTCCATTTGACACCAACCTAAGATAAGAGGTGGCATTATTGTGTAGACTGGCTTATTTGTTAATAATTGTTCTTTTCTGTTATCAATTAAAACATTTTATTTATTCATTGTTATAATGGCCCATACCAACGTTGAAGTCTATGAAATCTTTAAAAGGTTCAAAAAGTTCAAGATACAAGCATGGTCAGCACCATATGAAGATGAAAAAAAGGGATAGAATAGAAAGTTTACTTAATGTAACCAATCATGACAAATCATTATTCAAGAGAGCTACTGAAAAGTCATTGAAGGTAATATAGATTTGTTTTAACTTATTTAATTTTTTAATTGAATTAATGGTAGGACTCACGAAGAATACTGCACAAGCACTGTTGATCTGCGGTGTCCAGTTTTCTCAGAAGGACGCCAATAGTTGACCATGCTTTGTTTCCATACAGCAGCACGGGATGAAGTACGAGTTGTAGTCTGCTTGTGCAGTAGCCAGTAAAATACTCAAGTGCCATATATTTCGATTCAAGGATTTGTTATACGAATGCATCTTATCAATTCAACAAAATTTTGTATAACTGTACCACTATTGTGTATTTTGGAGTCAAGATATTTAAACGAATTTACGATTTGTACGTTGTTTTTCAGTGCTGGAACTGTTTCCGGTGGTAGATTCTTTAGAGAAATGACTTGATGGTTCTATAATGTATATTTTTTAATGAAATATTTTTACCGTCTTTACTTTTTGGGCCATGACCGTATATTATGGGTGTTTTTGTGTTTATAAATTGAACATAAAAAAAATTTTATAGGTTTCAGAGCATAATTTGGATTCAGACCGCATTGGACCTCGATATATTGAGATTGGTCAATATGAAGTGGCTACTTGGTACACATCACCCTATCCTAATGAATATTCAATGTTAGCTCACTACTGTGTTTACAACAGTGCATTCTTAGATTTTACTTATTTATTTCAAATATTTAATTCATTTTCTTTTATACATTTTTGTTTAAATAGTAAATAAATATTTCTTCTCACGTTTAGGTGCACCAAACTTTACATCTGTGAATTTTGTTTGAAATACATGAAATCACATGATTCTTTGGCAAATCATTTGGTTTGTTTTTCATTTTATTTATTTTTTTGTTTGAAAGTTTTAACGTGATTTTGATATTGCCCATTTTGCTGAATGGCCCAAAATTTTTAATCTTTGTTGTCCATTTACATCCTAATGCTCGCTTCCAATTTCGAACCTTTTATTCGCTGCAGCTTTTGTTTCTTAATCTGTTTTGGAATCGGCCGTTCATCATGAAAACCATAAATTCATAAATTGGAACGTGTTTATCCTGTTTTCAGAGAAGATACTTCTACTGAGTGCTCAAATGATTATGAGAAGATCAGGGGAGTATAAAATGAAAATTAGTGAGGTTAGATGAGCAACGCTCGCGATGAAGGATGGCAGAGCTGTTGTGCTCTTGCAGGGAGTGCCGATTCACTAACATGCATTTTAAGCTGAGTAAAGGTAAGAACTGTTATGACACTGGTTAAATAATACGATGACATTTTTGAAGAGAAGATGAACCGCAATTGACGCAACCCGAAAAAGGAAACCTTACATTAATCCTAGTACACAGTAGTAGACATTGTTGGGCAATTTATTCAGCAACGGCCTTTAGCTAGACAGCTAGACAGTTCTTTGTCCCATCTAGCGTCACACTACAACATAAATTTCTCATTATCGTTTTTGTAGTCTACCATAAGTAATGAATCGGGAGACTTTAGACATCCGATTTTTGCCCGTGGACTATGTAGGATTGGATTATATAATATACTAATCTCGAAGACAACCCGAGACGCTTAATAGAGATCAAATTTGTGCAACATTTATACTACTGTTTACCAAGCTTTACATTATGTTTTGTGCGTGCTTTGTTGCTCTGTGTTGACTTATAAATTCACAAAGTATATATCGACAAATTTTCTTAACTAAGAAATTTTTTGACAGAACAAATGTGATTATTACAATCCTCCTGGCGTAGAAATATATAATTCTGGTAACATTTCCATATATGAAGTCGACGGCAACATAAATAAAACATTTTGCCAAAATTTATGCTTGCTTGCAAAGTTGTTTTTGCAGCACAAGACTCTCTATCACGATGTCGAGCCATTTCTTTTCTACATACTTACTGTAAAAGACGCTAGAGGTATTGATTGTTTTTGATTTCAACAATAATGTAATTCATAATTTTCATTTAATGCTGTACATTCAATCAAATTTTATTATATTTAATGACTGTTTATGACATTTTTCCATTGATATGTTCAAAGGGTAAGTTCTCAGATTAGCATTTTCTCCTAACCAAAGTTTTGCCGATTGCCCTTTGGTTTTTTTATTCGCTATGGTATATATTTGCTTTCATTCTACTCTATGAAGACATGTTACTCTAATGAATCGTTAGGAGATTCTTTGTTTTTCATTTTAGGTTTATTACGGAAGTTTAAATGTAAAATTGTGGTTAAACATTTGCTCATATAGTTATAACTGTTTTTATTCAAACTGACTGCAGTTGGACCTGTGTTCACGCTTTTCATAATGCGTTCGCTGTGTTTATTAGCATGTTGTTGTACATTTCTCCGATTATCATTAAGCAAATTATCATGGCTATCAAGCCACCTCAAAAGGTGCGGGTTTTACGCCATCCATATTTTGTTTTATTAAATCGTAGAGCGTCCTACCTCGGGGAACTGGGTCTCTGGACGCTGAACGAAGATTGATTGAAATTGTGGAACAGCCTATCACAGTCACTGTTTTTTTGGAGTATCTGATATTACAAATTTTGGAAACTTGTTTTCCATTTCGTTATCAAAAACTTGCTTAACAGCAAATAAAAGCTCCGAAAACTTTTTTTGTCAGTTTTTTTTAATTCTGGAAGTTTAAATAACAATTTTGCGGCTTCTTTCAACACTATACTGACACTTGTACATTTTCGACTTGATAATATTTTATTAATGAAAGTTTGAATTCAATTAAGTAATATAGAAGTTCGATCAAAATTAACGTTTCTGCCATTTTTCGGGGGTGCCTTAGTTGCTCGCCAGGGCGCTTTATTAAGCAACAATATTATTAACTTGTTTAAGCTTCAAACCAAATTAAAACTATTTTTGCATGAAATTTTTATCGCATGAAAATTAGTAGATTATTTTTTCCAGGTAAGCACATTGTTGGATATTTTTCAAAAGAAAAGTATTGCATTCAAAAATTTAATTTATCTTGTCTAATGACCTTACCCCAATATCAAAGACAAGGTTTTGGGAGATTTCTCATTGGATTTAGTATGTTTTATTTGTGATTTCATTTTGTTTTCGTTATCTCTTCATAGTAACATGTTGTAAATTATTTTCGAATAATGAAACCCAACGTGTTGATTAGCGTTTTTACTGCCTGGCTTAAAAGAGATTATCAAAATGCTTGATTGTGTTATCGGCTTAAATAACTGATTGCAAATTTGGAAATAAGAGTACTAATCTTTAAAATTTTGATTGCATTTTAAAACAATATTTTTAAATTGATTAGTTTTAAAATACTTCGGTGTAAACACAGTTTTTTTATTTGTTCTAAAGGTTATTTACTTTCTAAAAAGGAGGGTGTACCAGGAAGTCCGGAAAAACCACTTTCTGACCTTGGGAGATTGAGTTATCAAGCATATTGGAAGGATGCTTTGGTCCAATGTTTTGTCAATCAAATGCGAATTAATGTTTCAAAGAATGAAATTTCGATTCAAGGTATTTTTTAGTCTCCCGTAACAATGTTGAATAGTTTCATTGAAATTTATCTTTCTTCAAGATATAAGCGATATAACTGCTATGATACCTCAAGATATCATCACAACACTTGAATCAATGAACATGATTGGAAAGTTAAACGAAAAGTAATAATTTAAACTTGTATACCATTCATTTGCCATATATATATGTATGCATCGTTAACAGGCACGTGATAGTTTTCAATGAAAAATGTTTACTGGAATGGAGCAATATTTCACATCAGGCATCCAAGCTTGACGAAACTAAACTCAATTGGGCACCAAAGAAATATTAACATTTGCATTCTGTATATGATTTCAGCTCGTTTAAACTCAACTATTTTCATTTGCTACTTTTTTATTTTTGCCATAATCAGACCAACAAATCAGTTAGTCATTTTAAATATGCAAAAAAGTTAATAAAATAAAACGCTAAGATCTGTGGATCTATCGGTATCTGTTGTTTCAATTCTGTCTCTTCGCTTCCAAAAGATACAATATTAAATGTTTATCAATGTTTGATTTTGAAATGAAACACGAACCGTAGTATGGGCAGAGTGAAAATTCTTTATTGTCGACTCTTCATTCAAAACCGTTGTCATGATTTAAGCAATAAAGACTAATTTTTCAACTTGAAATAACTAACATTTACAAACTCTATCGAATCAAACTTCGCAATTAAATCTCTAATAATTAATTGATTTAATTGTAAACAAAGTTTTCAAAAATAAAATTGGTATTCATAGTTTAAGAAAAGAGATGAATAATTGTCAGATAGAAATGAATGGTTCTTCGTATTGTATCTATTGCAACAAGTCGATTTTTAGGGGCTGACCGAACAAGTGTGTGGTTTTAATAACATTGAATGCTTATTTTAACCGCTTTCGATTAACATCAATCAATCAGTCTCCGTTTAGCGTCCAGAGACCCAGTTTCCCGAGGTAGGACGTTGTTTTCTTTGCCATCAACTTTTTGCGCCAAATTAGACGATCAGTTGTATCCATTTCATTTAAATTTAGAGCTTTCATGTCTTGCTCGATTGTTTGCGACCAGGACTTCTTTGGACAGCCTTTGGGACGTGTGCCAGGTACTTCAACATCTGCAAGAGAAGTTATGGCACTGTTTCCACTTCGTTTGACATGACCAAACCACCGCAGACAGTGTTGCCGGCATTCGTCCTTTATATCATCTAATCCAGCACGACGCAAGATTTCGGTGGATTTGATGTGGTCCTTCAGACTAATTCGTTGCATCCATCGGAGCATTTTCATGTCGGTTCGTTGAAGTTGTTGTTCCAGTTTGGCTGTCATTGGCCATGTTTCTGCCCCATATAACAAGACCGGACGTATCAGAGATTTATAAAGTCTTGATCGTAGTGGTAGTGGGATGTCACGCCGCATCAATATAGAGGCAAGGAGATGTCATTTATTCCAGGCTGCACGTATGCGTGCTCGAACGGCAGCTTCAGCTGTTCCAGTACAATCTAGAACATCCCCTAGATATTGAAACGATGTGACTTTCTCTACCTTAATGGCTTCAAAAACATTGCTATTTTGAATTTGTTGTTGTGGATTGATGCAAGCAGGACTAACAAAATTGGACACTTTAGATAAAGTACCAATTATTTTTGAACAACGTTTGTGACACCACTAGTTACACTGCTGACACTTGATTGAATTGTTACCTACACTAGCTTTACAAACTGAACAGGGCCATCGTCCAGTAGCTGTGGATTGGATGGGTTCACCAGTGTTCATTACTTTGGTTTTGCTGATGTTGACTTTGAATCCATGATCGGCGAGTCTGGTGTTCCAATCTTCAAACATCTGTGCTGCATTCTGCTCAGACGTGGCTGTTAAAACAATATCATCAGCATATATTAGATTCCAAATGTCACCAGTGCGTACCGGTTTTGTGATTTCTTCCATCACAGTTATAAATAAAACTAAAAGCAAAGCATTAACAACTATCACACATTTTTGTAGACCTTGAAAAAGCATTTGATCGAGTTCCCCGTGAAGCAATCAGATAGAGTCTTCGTCGACAACTCATTCCAGAATATCTTGTTCGATTCGATTAACATAATATTCGTCGCAAATAAATTTTGACAAATAGTAGGTTTTATCTTAATATTTTTAGTGTTATTTCGTTTCTTATAAACATCTAATTGCTGCTTCTTAGCTTCCTCTGCTTCTTACCAAAAAACTGTTTTGCATAAGCGATAAATAAATTGTTCGTGTACAACGTATATGTTTGGGCTGTATCTTTTTCTGAAAATATAGTCTTTTTCTGATGACGTCACGATTATAAAATGAAGTCACTGTTAATTTTTATAAATAATTGAATTAATAACACTATCAGTTAATAATTTTGATTCTGTTTACCATAGTTTGGTATCTTCTTTCTAGATGCAATACATTTGGATTCGGACTATTTACTTTAGGGTTTGAACTTTTTAAAAAGTTATTGTATTCCATTTTTGTTGCCACATGGATACGATATATTGATGTATGATAGGATTTATATCGGACATTGGTATTGAAATGTTTGACACTGGAAGAGAGTGTACCAGGCTGGTTTTTGTTGCCCAAAATTCCAATGTGGCTTGGACTCCAAACTAATTTTATTGAATTATTATTTATCATAATGTTGTGAATTTTGTTTTTAATCATTGTTACTAGAGGGTTTCTATTTCTATCCGAATTTATTGCCGTGAGGCTGGATAAGGAGTCTGTGACAATTAGAAATTGGTTTGTTTTGGAGTTTTTTATGTGATCCAGTGCCATGTTAATGGCTATCAGTTCAGCAGTGAATGTCGATGCGTATGGTGAAAGTCGTTGAAGTAGGATTTGTTCGAAACTACTAATGACAGCTGCTGCTGATGTTGATCCTTTTTGTCCCGACCCATCTGCATATATTATAATGTGATTTGGATGTTTTTCTAATATTTCGTAGAAGCTCATTTCACACAAAATTATCTCACTCTTGGATTTACACAAAATCTTCACCTCCATGTTGCGATACATGTGGTACAAGACTGACCATTCATCACATTATCACAGAATGTCAAAAATACCAGTTAAACAAAAAAATTCACAATATTCCGACCAACATACAACAAATATTTGAAGATCCAGCGAGCATTCAAAACACAATAAAATACTTAACAGATTTAAATCTTATTTACGAAATTAAAAAAATTTAAAACTAAACAAAATCAACAATACCAAGGTATAAAATCAGAAAGTAAAAAAATAGACGTGAAGATATCCATTTGTGCTGAAATGCCAGAAATTGGCAACAAACAAACAAACAGTAGCAAAAGAAGAAATGAAGAAATCAATTATTTACCACTGCATCAGCGGCTTTTCATCTCATTCGTCTTTATTAGTTTTTTAAATTAATATTTTACATCTATAATTTATAAACCAAACGAATTTGAAAAATCAATTTAGCAATATTTATTAATAAAAAATTCAAAATTTAAGGCAGATATGGCAAAAGCTTGCTTCAGCATTGAAGGCACGAGTTCAATAACAAAACTGCGCAGAAAGAAAACACGATTGAAATATTATCAAAAATATAAATCATAACTTTTTGATTTAAAAAAAATGAAAACAATTGAAATCTTTGCAGGTTAGCAAATTAAAATAATAATATTTATATGATTGGAAAAGAAAATCAACTGAAATATTTCATTGTGAAAAAAAATTAGCTAGCTTTTCCAATTCCCTGAAGAAAAAGATAAATAGATGCAAAATCTTTTTCTGCGTAGCCACTGTTGCACAGCATTCTGTACATGTGATGGGCCAAAGAACCAAGAGGAGTAGGAGTTGAGGTCAGCATAGCCGATGTTTGAGCTAATCCAAGATCCTTGAATATTTTAAAATTAGTTTAATTTACTAAAGATTTTAAAATTAATTCACTAAATATTGTTGTTAAGTTCTACATCATCATAAGAGTCACAAAAGTGTGTCGTGTACGGATAAAAAGTTAACCACTGCCATATAAAAAATAATGACATAAAAAACTCAAAACTGTGGTTTGAGGTGAAAATTGAAACAAGTAAAAATTTTCATGTATATAAGTGGAGCAGATTCGAAAAAAGCTGTTAAAATTAAGACTGAAGATTAATAGGGAAAAAATAATTGAATAATTAAGCCAATTAGTTCAGTCCATTGATACCCACCGATCCAAATAGCTCAGACGATATAAACACCTCGCAATGAAATAAATCTACTGCCTATGTGAAGCTCAATAGCAGTTTCGACATTGTGTTTTCCTAAAACTGCGTGACATGAAGTTTGCATATAGCACAGCGTTTCTAGCACAGGAAGAATAATATTAAACTAAACACCTTAAAATGATTTATAAGTAGTTTTACGTATATCAAAGTCAATTAGCTGAATAACAATATATGACCTGAGCTGGATTATCAGACACCAATGTACAAAATGCTATATAAGGTAGATACCGCTAAAAATTGACCCAGTTATGCAGCCAGGGTCAGTCAGTAGAAGTGCCACGCCTCGAAACTCAAAGATCATCATACGGGTATAATGTGGTGCATACGTAATGTGTATGTGCGTCGTGTGGTGTAGATAGTACGGGCTTTTTGGTCCGAATAACTACAAATATAGAATAACATGAAGGCATAACTGCATTTGATTGAGCTATATTATAAAGAAAAAACATGATGCGACATGATAATTAACTACATTCGCATATTTAGAACTTGAAAATTCAAACCTTTGTATTATAAAAGTAAAAAAATTATTAAAACTTTGGCCATGAGCTTAGATCCAAATCCTCCTTCGTAATTACGACTGGCGGGTATGTTTTCAACGACTCCTGGGCAAGGGTTGTATTTCAATGTAGACCAACACTGACCAGAACTAGAATTTAAAATGCTTGCAAACAACTTTGGATCTAGTCCTAATCTGTTAACAATAGATTGTAATTTATACATGAAAAAAATGTGCATTAAGGAGAGCCCATTGCTACACCGTCTATTTGCTGATATAATGTGTTACCCGGGCCAAGGAAAGGCGCATCGGCTGTATATATTCTTAGCAACGCAAATAATTCATCCTTTGGAAATGGTAGTGGTGAATGACTGGAATTGTATATTCTATCTATAATTATGCCGAGTGTGTCCTCTACAGGAATATTTGTAAAGAGTTGGCCCGGGGTAACACATTATGTCAGAAAATAGACGGTGCAGCAATGGGCTCTCCATTGGGAGTACTCTTCGCAAACTACTATGTTGGATATATTGAAGAAATGTTATTTAAAGAAAAACCAGAGCTAAAACCTAATATAAACTGCCAATATATTATCTAATGTTGAAATCTTACATTAAAATAACAACCATTATAATTTACCACTAGCCGAATTAATACTCATAGAACAAAGACATCAGATAATAAATAAATAAAAGTGTTATATTAAATAAAGTTGAAGATTGTAAAACTAATTAAATGAGCGTTAAGTATTCACTTTGAACAAACAAGGAATCAACAAAGTAGAGTAGCGACACAGTATATATATATATATATATATATATATATATATATATATATATATATATATATATATATATATATATATATATATATATATATATTTGAGCATCTGAGCACAATTCGAACACCGAAGATGGTATAGAAATATTAAAAAAAGCTTTTTTGATCAATCTTGCAAAATTTAGAAAAAAATTTTGTTTTTGAACTCAAGAATGATTTACAATCAACAATTAAAAAGACCGAAAAGTTAATCAGGATGTTAACTAACTCCGAACATGCTGTGATTTTCATCAATAATTGCATTTCTGACAGTCTTAATCCAATATACATATATATATATATATATATATATATATATATATATATATATATATATATATATATATATATGTGTGTGTGTATATGTATGTATGTTTTTACAATATTTTATAAATTCTACCGAATGTTTGGCTTTAATATGTATTAACATTCGGTAGAATTAATAGAATATTGTAAAAATTATAGTCTTTTACCAGCATATATGTATGTATGTATGTATGTATGTATATATGTACGTACGTACGTATGTATATATGTAGAGGAGTTAAAGTTGAAGTTAAAGGAAACAAAACGTGAAAATTAGACAAATTTTCTGTCAACTACTGTTGCTCCACAAACTTGATTAGCCACACCATATTTCATTTTATATTTCTTAACTCAATAACTGAATATAGTCGTCTATAAAATGAAAAACAAAATTAGAAACGGTGACGATAGCTTTAACAAAGATATAATTAATTCAATAACTTTACCTTCAACTTACTACTTTGAAGTAACTCTAACTGATGGATTCTTCCCAGGCATTCATCATATATTTAATTTTCTATTAGAAACATTTTTGGGGTGAACATCTTTTTTAAATTTTGACAAACTTTAAAATCAACTTAAAAAACTGAAGTATAAAAATTGCATGCTGGTCAAATGGAAATAACGACATTTTGAATGCATGCCTTGAATATTAATGAAAATAGTAGAGAAATTTTTATTGATTTAGAATTAGGAAACAATATATTTCTTACTTTTGTCCTAAAATCATTGCTTCAGCAGTTCCAATCATTGATATGCCCAAGAGCATGTTGTTGCAGATTTTAGCTGCCTGTCAAAAAATGTTAAATAAAAGTGTAACAATAAATTTATTAGTTTAACATTGACTTATGGGAAAAAAGTGATTATTATGTTTTGTTGCCCAATTCGTAGCATTCAGGAAACAACTGTTATCGGCGCTTAATTAAATTTAAATTGAGAATTAATCAAATATGGCTGATCACTTTCGCATTAATGTTTTAACCAAATTCATCCAGTCTTAATCCAAACATTTAGATACAAACGTGAAACAACTTTTTTACACCTATTCTTAATAATTTTTATGCGCTGGTTTTAAACCAAGTTTTATTTGCCTTTTTTAAACTTATAAGCTTTGAATTTTGAAGAAAATAAAAATTTAACTTTGGATGATGCTAAACAATGAAGAACAATGAAAAACAAAAATTAAATTCATGTTTTTAGATATCTTTTTATTATAATTCGTTTGAGTATTAACTATTTAATTAAGAATAAATAAAAAGTCTTGAACTAGCCGCAATAGCAAGATCAATGAAGCTTAATAAAACATTGTTTAGACCAAAATGTTGAAAATTGAAATTTCCATATAATTATCATCATAATACCCATTAATCATTCATACATTTTTTCTGTCTTTATAAGTTCCTTAGTTTTTTTTTTAATTTTTATTGTTTTTTCTCAAATTTTCCCTCCTCCTCCCAGCCCAATGTAAATTCGTACTAAATATAAAAATACACGCAAAAATCGATTCAAGGACCTTTAAAAGTAGCTGAAAAGATAGAGTGTTAACAGTTTTTGACACACTTTAAAAATTAACTCATATGAAACACCAAAATAAATTAAAACAACCTGTCCTGTGCCAGAGGGACCACAGTAGACAACAATTTTTCCCATGTTTTCCAAAAGATCTTTCACAACTGAGAATGAAGATTGTTGGCCTCCAACCATAAACGTCAAAGTACCTTCCTTGGCTGCAGTCACACCTTTTGTTCAATCAAATCAAGTTAATGCATCCCATCCCAAATATTTTTGTGAAAAATCTTTCGAGTCAATGTCATAAAATTATTGAAATAAATATGTTACCTCCAGAAACAGGGGCATCAATAAACGTGGAGTGAAACTTTAAAGCTTCCTTTTCTAACTGTCGAGAAACGTCTGGATCGATTGTACTGCTGTCAACAAACAAGCTGTCAGGCTGTGCTTTACTGTGCTCAATAAAATTTAATTTAAAAAGCTAAGAAATATTTACAGATTCATCTTTAAGAATAATCAACTTAAAAAACAACATAATAATAAAACTTCACAAGCTTTACATGGGTCTCAATTTCGAATAAAGACATATTTATATATAACCTTGTAAAAACCCCAAACAATTTCTATTGTGTTTTTAAAAGCTGTAGTAAACTATAAACATTATTCATTTCTTAAATTAAAAGACAAAAATGTATATAAAAACATTTAACCTATTAGTTTCAAGTTAAGCAAATCTTGTTTTAATTGGATAAACATATTTTAGTTTAAAAAAAAGTAAAAAAAAGATTTTCAGCTTTGAAATGGGGCACGCTGTCAGGAACAAATATAGCCTGAACAAAAGCTTAGAAATGATTTTGTAATGTGAAAAGCTGCAAGAGTGTTTGTCAATAAAATCATTTTGAAAGTTTTAGGACATTATGAAATTCAACAAAAGCAGTTATGAAATCTCCTATTTACTTTTACTGAAACACTGACCTTAAAATTCCATTTTGTCCTAAATATACTTCCTTGACGTGAGGACTAGAAGGTAGCATGGTGATGATCGTTTTGGCAAGAGAAGCAACTTCAGAAGGGGATTCAGCTTTTTTTGCTCCTAAAATCATTTCATAATTTTATGTGAAACAGTCAAATTAATTGAACAAGAGTTAAAAATAATGGTAACGTTGAATTATAAAAACTGTGTAAGTTTTTGCTGGATGTTTAAAAATCTATATTTTGTTACACAGACTGTTTAAATTAAAATTTCTGATTCCAACCTGAAAAACAATAATCAAGAGTAGGCTCTGAAAAAGAAAATTAGCCACAAAAAAGTGGATCTGCCATCCATCTTAAAGTGGATATTTTGTTTGTGACTGATTTCGTTTTTTGTGATTTTAGAGCAAAATGCAAAAGAGCAATTTTTTGTGACTGATTTTTTTTTCAGAGTCCAATTTTGATTTGTTTTTTAGGCCAGAATCAGAAATATTAATTTATTCAATGCCTTGTGCCATTATGGTCGATTATTAACAACCAGTCAATTTGTAGTTTTGTAAGGCACCAATAGTTTCAAACAGGTCAAATCATAAAAATTGCTATTTCATTTTTTTTAAATATAAAAATGCAGGCAATAATAAATATAAATAAATACATAAAGAATTTCAATGGTGCTAAAAAATCTAAACAAATTAATTACCGGCATCAACTGCTTTAGTTACTGCATCCTCACTGATATCATATACAACTACCGATATTTTATTCTTCAGAAGGTTGTTTAACATGTGTCCTCCCATATTTCCCAAACCAATGAAACCAACATTTTTTTCATGATTGATCTTGTATAAATAATAAACTACAAGTGAATGTATGAAATAAAATTACATACAAAACAAGCATAAAACAACACCATAAAAATTCTAGTGGCAAACTTTACGAGCTAAAAAATAAGAGAAGCAAAAATTACCTTTATTTATCAAACAGAATTGACCATAAAAAACAAAATGAATATACAATACATATTCAGACAATATGAGGGCCTACAGATGTTAAAAATGAACAGTAAATAATTGGCTCAAATGGTCCAATTAAATGTGTGGTGCAGTAGCTTAGAAAGTATTAATTTGTATGTAAATTGGGCCAGGTAGGCAAGTTACAACATGCAAACTGTAACTGTAACAAAGAGTAAGAGCCGGCAATACAAACAATTAAACCAACTATTTCATGTTATAAAAATCCAATTCAACTTACAAATTTTCTTGTTGAGGCTGTGAAATTAAAAAAAAGATATATAAATGATGGTGTAAGAGGGATCAAATTGGTAAAAGTTAAACTAAGTTTAAACTAATTTTGATAGACCTTTTTACATGAGAGTGCAATAAAATAGCTAACTTATTACGATTTGTGACTTAATTCTTAAAATATTTTATGAATACACTTGAGTAAAACTTTTTTTATAAAATATTTGACAATTTAATAATGCTTTCAATACTTTCAAAATTGAAAAAATCTAAAATAGAAAAGCAAAATGCAATGATTCAACTTGCTATTCGGCAGTGGACAGTGTCAAAACAGTGCTGTCAATTTTAAGAGGAGCTTTTGTGGGGATCTCTACATTTATTGCACAAGTTTTTAGATGTGAAAAGAACAATTAGTTTAATATGGCAATCAAAAATGGAAATTTGAAATCTGTTGCAGCATTTTTTGCAACTCTTATCACAAGATAGGTGGTTTCACTTTTCCTGTGAGGAAGTCAACTTTTCATAGACCATCATTTTGTAAAACTTGCGGAATGTTATAGTTTTGTAACTGCAACTGTTGTAATTGGACTTTGTGATATGTATAACTCAGATAATAGATGCATTTGAATATTAAATGATTGAAATTATATTTATTTATAATATAACGTTTTAAATGTAGTTGAAAAGTCCACTTTTTTTATTACGGCAATAGAGCCATAACATTTGTTAAAAATACTTTAGTTTTTATTTCAGCAAAATATAAAAACAGTGTAAATAAAAAATTGGCTGTAAAGTTTCTCCCCTTTAATTTAATAATGGTTAATTTATAAAGAAGATTTTCACAAAAACTCTAAAATTTTTTTAAACAGAACTCACTCAAAAAAAATGGAAAACCCCATTTAAAAGATGGCCTTAGAAATTCAAAAACAATGAACACATTTTCCAACAAAATATAAATAAAGCATTACAGTAAGTCTTTCCAACTATTGTTTTTGCTGATTAATATTAATGAGCTGAGCATGTAGTCATACGATTACTCAACTTCTTGTAGTTAAGCTTGTTTAGAAAAAAAGTTTATTTATATGGTCATATGCAACTAATTTTAAATATATTATTCCATGCATTATTATCATTATTCCTCACAGACTAGGGTATACTGGCAACGAAGTTATCTCTAGGTGGTGGATAGGGAAAAGTCCCGGACTGGGAGACATCCTCGATTGCCTAAATAATACAGAATAAGGTATTATGAACCAATTGAACCAGAAGAAAAAAGACAACAGTGAAGTAGGCAGTTATGTTATGAACCAATTGAACCAGAAGAAAAAAGACAACAGTGAAGTAAGCAGTCATCTTAGGACAACGGCTTTACACAGCGGGTGATTTTCACTTCTAAACCCACTGCCTTGTGGATTAGGGTCCTTTGACTAAAAAGCTAGGCACTGTGTTCTCCTGGTTAAAAAATCAAACTACAACCACACTGCCTTTTATCCTAAAACTTCATCATGATGTCACATTAGTATTATTATTTTTAAATCTTAATGTATCAATAATAAGCTTTCTCAACAAGTCAAGCCCAACCCTCTAAGTCTAAGTCTAACCTAAATCCTATGAGTATGTAATGTGGTTACCATGCATTTATTTTTACATAATTTTTTATAAATATTAACAAATACATTATGGTTGATTATGGTTAAAACATTATTATAAAATAAAGATTAAAGACCAAATAGATAGATAGACAGAGATGAAAATACATGGAGGAGGCATAGCTCATAGCAAAACTTGGCAACTTATATAATATACATATAATAATTTAATTATTAATTTAATAAAATTTTTATGACCTATTTAACTGCTAAATAAACAATAACAAATTTAAATTAAAAAAAAATTATATGTGATAAATTCATTTATCAGATAAATGAATTTATTAAATTTTATAAGACCCACTTGAAAAAAATCGGTTTTTTCTGAGAGTAAGACATTTTTCATAAAGAGTCGATCTGCAAAATATTAAAGCTCGCATTCTTAAAACTTCCATGGTCGACGGCCACACCAACAAACAACTATGCAGCGAGGCTCACCGAGACTGAAGTGACTTATGATTGGAAATCAAAGGTGAGACTGTACATGAAGTTTCCAACAGTGTCTAGCTTCTGACGAAAACTCTTTGCGAATGCGTGTATTTCATATTGTGCGTTCATGTGCGTGCCATATTATTTTAAGTATATGGTGCGTGCATTTATTCTAAATATATAGTGTGCAAGCATTATAGAATAATACTAAACTGCTTAAAAGATTATCTTTTGATTGCATAATCAGTTTTGTAATATTGTAGTGTCGATCCTTCTTGTTCCTGACACTATTGATTCTACTATTCTCATGCGACTGCTAGATCATTTTTTAATGTTACCGAATCTTACACGTCTTAGTTTTTTTTTATATATCTATGATCATTTCTCTTCTGTTGTTCTTAATAAACTTCTAAGATAATGAAATACTTCTACCTCTAACTCCTCTTCTCTTACTTATGGGATGCCTCATGGATCCATCTTTGGTCCTCTTCTATTACTGAAAATTTTTTTCATTTACTAGTCAACTATATGCCCATGACCATATCTATACTTCTTTTCATCCATATAATCTCATTCTAAACTATTTACAATTTATTCTATATATATATATATATATATATATATATATATATATATATATCAATAGTGTTCTTCATAATTTCGTCTTTCTTCTATTATTGCTTGGAGAGATTCTATGTATCTCAAACTAATGTCTCCTAAGTTGGAACGGACTAATATTTTTTTAATAAATCTAAACACTCCCTACTATTCCCTCAATCAATATCACACCTGATTCTAACACTCGTAGTTTAGGCTTTATTTTTGATTTTAGCATGTCTCATTTTTCTCAGATTAATAGTTGATGAAAATTCTTACTTTCATCTACGAAGCATAAAATACTTTTACCTTTCCTTGACAATCCTGCTCTTCGCTTACCATACGTGTTAATTTATTAGTTTTTTTTTAATCTAGGATTGATTATTGTAATTTGCTCTGCTTTATTATTATTCTGTAAAAATTCAGAATCTGATAAACGCAGAAACTGTTACAACGTGCAAATGCATGGCAATAGTATAAAATGACAACGAAAAATAAACAACGGAGAAAAAATTTTTAAGCGTAAAAAGTACGAAAAAAAATAAAGTAATGGTTTAAAAGCCAGATAAATAAAATAATTAATGATTAGACTAGTTTATGGCTTAGTAAGTTAGTTAAGTGATGAATAAGAAAAAGGAAAACTAAATTGAGTAGATGATAAGGTTATATTGAGTGCTGATGATGTATTTAAGATGTCTTGTGATGAAGGTTGATTGAGTGGCAACTTGATAGTTATGCTTGCTTTGACGAAAGTTTGTGTGGTAGTTTTGATTGGTGGTAGAAAAGGATGGATGACGTGGTTGTTGTTATTTTCTACTCTCTTGAACAGTCGTGAATCGAGTGTGTTGAATATCTGAGTGACGGTAGAATATGATGCAGGTAGATAGTTGAGGCAAATTAGTTTTTTAATGAAAGATTGTAGTTGCTGAAATTGTCGTTGTGTGGCGAAACCAGACGAGGAGGGAACTGCATATTTGATGTTTGAGATAATAAGTGATTCAGTGATGTCGAATAATTTGATGCCTCTGAGGCCATGTTATACTACATACTTTAAGTAAATCTTTTAACTCTTGCTGCTCGTCTAGTTTCTCGTCACGAGACTCGTGCCCCTTTGTGATGACGGGATTAATATGAGGTACTACATCAAGTGTGGAGGTAAATGTGATGTATGATATTTTTTCAAAATCAGGATCTGACAGACGCAGAAACTACAACTGAATAAAATAGTAAAATATAATATGAATACTGATGGAACTTTAAATTGTAATCGCCTCATCGTTTTAGAACGCAAAGAACAAAAAATTAGCAACTACAATAATAATGCAACTAACAATAATAACAAAAATAATATAGTAATATATAAGAACCACATGTCAACTGCTTTTGAATGGAATTAAAAAATCATGAAAAGAATCATAAAAAATAGCCTCCAAGAAACAAATGAAAACGATAGCATTAAACTACGAATATACTACTCCAACCAAAAAACGTCGTCTCTTGTGATGGAAAACAACTGCAATAGTAAGCCAGAATCGATTATGGATCACAGCCATTTGATATAGTTGTTCAAATGTAATATTAGTGAGTGTTGGCACCATAATTCCGAATATATTGGTATGACGACGACGAACTTCAATAGGACATATATATCGTCCAAACCATGAACTTAGGAAAAAAAAATGAATATTGGAAATATATTATTGAGCCGATTTGCGCCTGAAACCGTATATATATCCATGCCTGAGATCCCTTAGTGAACAAATTTACAATGCGCAGGAATACTTTGTTTATATTTTCGATGAGCGAAAAGTCCCGACATTCCGTCGCCAGCAGTGTTTCATTTTTTCCACTGAATTATTTTCATCCGTTCAAAGCATTTGTGTGAGTATTTTCTTTAATGTTATTTGAACTATTTTTATTAATTTATTGTCTGCATTTTTAGTAATATTTTATTTCGTAAGTTGCGATTATCGCTCAAGTTCTTTGTTGCGGTCTGAACTTATAGTACTTGACTACTTGTACTCTGTACTGTACTGCATTGATTCATTCAATGAATTTCATTGGATCAGCAGCCTCCTTTTCCAAATTTTTATTCTGTTTGATTCTTTGAGACAAGTCTAAGATGACTATAAAATAAAGATAAACGAACAAGACCACCGCTTACTTAATTGGTTTTCTTTTAATATTTAATTAAATTTTTAAATTAATTAATATATTTAAAATTTTAATATTAAGAACAATATAACATCAACATCTCTGCTAATTAAGATAAAAAACTTTTATTTTTAATTATTAAAATATAAATAAATGAATGAATGCATGCACCATTGAGCAGATCATTTGATATTGATTATTTTATTATTCATTAAAAATAAAAAAAATTTAAATATAATTCATCATAAAATAGATTCAATCAAGATTATCAACATCAACACTTATAACATGTTCATTTTATTTTCATTTGATTTAATTATTAATGTTCAATTTTATTTTTCAAGATGAACTCTGGCCTCTGTTAATTTCTACTTATAGTATACACACACAGGTAGGATATGCCAAAATTAAAAAAATTATTCTCCAAGTTTTTTATCAAAATTTTTTTCTTTGAAAATATGAATAATTTTCATTTTTAATATTAGTCAAACGATCTTATGAAATCGACAATTTTTAGTAACTTAATAATTTTGTTCAAAAACGGCAGATTCCTGTGACACTGTGAGATGTCTTCTCCAATCAGTAGCCTCAACAGTTTGTTTTCCTTTACAAGCCCTGCTGTCAAACGCTTGTTAGGCTGGAAACAAGGGGATGAGGAAGAAAAATGGGCTGAAAAAGCTGTTGACTCTTTGGTCAAAAAATTGAAAAAGAAGAAAGGGGCTCTTGAGGATTTAGAAAAAGCATTAAGCAACCCAGGAGTTCCTAGCAAATGTGTAACGTTGCCAAGATCTCTTGATGGTCGACTGCAAGTTTCTCATCGCAAAGGATTACCACATGTTATTTATTGTCGAGTTTGGAGATGGCCTGATCTTCAAAGTCATCACGAGTTGAAGGCACTTGATTGCTGTGAATTTCCTTATTCTTCAAAGCAAAAAGAAGTCTGCATTAATCCTTATCATTATCAAAGAGTAGAAAGTCCAGGTTTATTTGAATTTATTCATTTTTCTGCTAATCATTATATTACTCTCAGACTAATAAAGATAAAAACTTAAGATCCTTATTCTTTTTCAGTTCTTCCACCAGTTTTGGTACCAAGATACAGCGAGTACCCTTCAGGGATGACATCCTTCTCTCAGATCAATGAACCAGTTCTTCCTTTTAATGTCAGCTATCCACATGGATTTCACCAATCGTCTAGTGGATCTGGACCATCAAGTCCTTTTGGTCTGCCTGGTCTGATTATTTAATATATATAATTTTAAAAGTATTATTACAAGTTAATGTATATTTTAAGTTTTTATAAATTTTTATTTAGTTTTTAATTTTAATGCTCTGACATTTGAATATTTAATGAAAATTTGTAATTGATTAGGCTTATTATAACATAACTTTTTTTATAATGTTTCAGCTGATAGTCCTCCTCCACCGTATAGAGTTCACAGTTCAGTTAGTCCACATTTGGGTGCAGGGGGAGACAGCATGGCTCCTCAACATTCTGCAATGGAATCATCCATCTCTGGACAAGTACCTTCAAACAACATGCCTGGTAGATATCCAGCATCATCATCCATCCCTAAACATTCATCCAAGTACCATGGCAATGGTATGATTGGAAAAATATTTTTTTAATTTTATTTAAAATTGCGACTTACACTGTGATGAATCTAACTTTTTAGATGTGCAGGCCGTAAACTATCAGGAGCCAGACAACTGGTGCTCCATTGCATACTATGAGTTGAACAACCGTGTTGGTGACATCTTTTATGCTTCAGCTCCCAGCATCATTGTTGATGGCTACACAGATCCATCAAATAATGCAAGTCGTTTCTGCTTGGGGCTCTTGTCAAATGTCAACAGAAATTCAACTATTGAGAATACGAGGCGGCACATAGGCAAAGGTTGATGTTTTCATGCAATTTATTCTTTCAACCTGCCTGAGATTAAATTTTCTGCTCTGACCTGCTAGTGAATATGGCTTCTGTAAAATTACTCTATTTGTTTAAGTAATGGAAAGTCAGGAGAATTATTTTGTAGAAAGTCATTAAAACTCATGAAAAATTTCTTTCCAAAACATGTCAGAACTGGCTGTATATTTTTGTCTTAGTTTACATTATGTTATGGTCTCATGATATATGTATTTCAACCAACCCATTTTCTTAATAGTTGAACTCGGACAATTTTTGATCTTTTTATCATTGTGGGTTGCCTAAACAGTAAACCACTTGGACCAGCAACTTGTCAGAATAATAATCTTTAGGAGCAAAACTAATTTTTATTAAGCAAGCTTAATTAGGCTATCTTAATTCACACTCAAAAGTAATTAACGACCACAAAAAAATGTTGCCCATTGACAAAAGTAAAATCTTTTTTGTTGTTTGACTTGCATTTATCAAATATGTCAGAGCTTATTTTAAAAAGTTATGTGAATGTCTGTAATTGATTACGTTTTGTTGTATGATGTACAAATTGTTACAGACAACTTGGAATGCAATTTATTATCAAAGTTATCAGATTGTTACGGAGCAATTGGAATGCAGATAATAGCCTCTGACATCCATCTCAGAACTTTTTATTTTTTGAGAATATTTAAACACATTCTTGCACCATGCACCGTCTACATTTTAACTTCCTTCATTACTGAATTTTTTTCTGTTGTAAATATTATATATACATTTGCAATATATTTTTTAAATTATTTTGTGTATTTATATTAATTGTTTGTCTGTTGCATAGGATTGCATCTGTACTATGTTGGAGGAGAAGTATTTGCTGAATGTTTGTCAGAGAGCAGTGTGTTTGTACAAAGTCGCAACTGCAACTGTCACCACGGATTTCATCCAACAACTGTGTGCAAGATTCCGCCAGGGTGCAGTTTGAAGATTTTCAATAATCAAGAATTCGCTCAGATGTTGAGTCAATCGGTTGGCCTTGGTTATGAGGCTGTTTTTGAGCTCACAAAGATGTGCACCATTCGTCTGAGTTTTGTGAAGGGTTGGGGAGCTGAATACCATCGCCAAGATGTCACCAGTACTCCCTGCTGGATTGAGATTCACCTCAATGGTCCACTTCAATGGTTGGATAAGGTGTTAACCCAAATGGGGTCACCTCACAATCCTATTTCATCAGTTTCGTGAGCAATCCTGAACTGCTAACCGTCATAGATTGAAATCTTTATTGTATCATTTATGATAAACTAGTACGTTTGTATTTTATAGGCTTTTTTATAATATGTTGTCTTATAAATAGTATCAAAAAACTATAAATGCATATTTGGTGCCCTCGTTTATTTTCAAAAAAAGAAACTTATTTTAAACATACAAAAGCAAATTTGTGTGGTAAATTTAATAATTTTTAACGAATTATTGGGGCACGTTTAATATGTATCTATTATTCACAATTTCATACGTGTTTCATGCTCTTTAATTTTTCCGTAGTTTTGTTTCTATTTATTCAATAGGCCATATTACGTTATGGCCATGTAGTTTTAACGATTTATTAACAGAGTTTTTACATTAGTTAATATTTTTATAACTTCATTACTGTTTTTAATGTGGTATTTACTTTTTCGTCAGTTATTTTTTTTGTAAAATTATTTGGCTTTTATTTATTTACCACAATTTGTTTGAAAAAAATTTTGTGATTTCAAGATTGCAAATAATCACATTTTGATGTCGATCACTCGCTTCTTACAAAGTTGCATCAACAAGTTATCTCAATGAATTTTTCATGTCACTTACGCCGTTTCACAAACGCAAATAATCTTTTTCAGAATCAGCTTCAAACTAATTTATTTGTTAATAAGAAATATAGTAACTTCATTTTTACGATGCAAAATTATTGAGCGCTGCTGGATGATTCCTCCTGAATGGCCCTAGTACAAATATGTTTAATTATGTTTATTATGCTAATTGACACTTAAATAAGTAATCTTCACTCATTGTCTCAAAATATTTTATTTGATTACTCGAATTGTTTGTGAGTTGGGTTTTTTTTTTATAAATGAGCGCTTCCACGTTTTATTTTTTTCAAATTTCGAATAAATTTTTGCTTTTACATTTTGAACATTTCCAACTAATTGTTGCTGTATACTTCTGCTTATAACTGTTTCATTCAGATGCACCTTGAAACGATCATTTAGTCTTTTTAAATCTTTCTTTTGTTTGTTTTATGATATCATATTCTGTGTTAGATGATTTTATTACTTTACATTTTATATCTCCTATAAGTAGCTTTCTTTATAAAAAAAATCATGGTAGCTTTTTTATGTGTATTCAATAAAATGATATTTGTTTCAAACTTATCTTGTAATATATATATTATTTATTTATATTTCTATAAATATATTTTTAATTTTTTAACTTGATAAGATATTATTTTTTGTTTTTCAACAATTAGACACACGTTGAGTTTTAAAAAAATAGCTTAGGCTTAAGTTTTCAATTTTATTTCCTCTCCTTATGATTATGGTGCGCCAACAAATTTTAATTCTTCCAAATTCAACGTTATTATTTAATTATATTTTCAAGACGTCGTTGTTTTCACAGAGCAAATGACTGTTAAACTGACATTTAATCACTTTTTTATTTTCTTCCATTGCTGTCTATCCACATTAATGTTACAAATAATATTATTCAGACTATGTTTCGATATTTTTACCGAAGACATTTTTGTATTTGATATTGTTTATTCGTATAAATGATTAACTACTTAACAGTTCGTTACTATTAACTAGACTCAGATTTCAAGTCTGATTAATCTGATCAAAGGTTTTCAACAATTTTAGCACCGCAAACCCTCTAGTACCTTGCTTAACCCCAGTGCGGCGACCTATATTTAAATATTATTGTCGTTCATACAATTAAGAAATTGTAATTTGCACAGTTTGAGGTGTTTTTTAAAATCACTAGCAATTAGTGAGTAAAAAAGAGATTATAGATTGTTGTTGTTGTTATAATTTTGGTTTAATTTTTTTTTTGTTTTTCTGTATGCATAACGCATTTACCATAAATGTGAGTTTTTGAAGAATATGATAAAGCGTTGCTAAGAATCTTAACGAAATTCGTTACGAAGGTTGAGGTTCTATCAGATATTGAATTTTAAAAAGTCTTAGCAATTCATTTTTTAGATCGAGTCTATTTCCGTATTTAAACTTGGTAATAGGCTGTAAAATCCTATTTTGCATAGTTATGTTGCTAGAAATGAAAAAAGTAAGCACAACATAATCTCGGGATGTGGCTGGCTGCAAACATTTTTTAAAAAATTGTTAGAGCCAACGTCGAATGAAAGTAAATTTTGCGGTGTCCGGAGAAAAGATCGCCGGACAAAAGACCGTCAAGGTAAGGTCGCCAAACAAGATCGCATAATATAAAGGTCGTAAAACGATATGGTCGCATGATATAGATGTCGCAAAGCAATAAGACAGCATAAATAATAATCGATAATAATAATATATCATGATATAATAATAATCTGCCCATAAAAAATCTTCGCATTTTATTACTGACCTACGCTTAATTACTCGCTTCGAAAGTTTGAACAACCAATCCATGCACTACTGTTTTGAGTTACAAATTTCTTGAAGTTTTTGATGGCGGCTCTTTGGTTTGTGCACGTGTAGTCCCAAAAAGGGGTTGATAGTGGATGCTGGCTATTTTTTTGTGAAAGGAAAAAGACGAAATGACACGATTTCTTGGAAGTGTAGCGAATACAAAAAGGGAAAATGTCCAGCTTGTCGTCACACCAGGCTCAATGAGATTGTGAAGTCGATTGGTGATCACAATCATGTTCCAGATTGTGCGAAAGTCAAAGCCAAGAGAGTTATGGTTAATGGGAAGACCCAAATAGCAGAAATCATAGTTTCGAGTCATGTTATTGTCGCAAACTGCACTTCTCATCTCTCACAAGCTGTTGGTCAGTTGACAGCAAGAAAAGATCAATACGACGACAACGTCAACAAGATGGGCATTTTCTTGCAACAACCAACTCGCTGACTGAACTAGCTATACCGCGGCAATATAAAACTATTTTAAACGAGGATCACATTGAGGAAGATTTTTTGTGTTATTAATTTGGGTTATTGCAGGCACACAATTTTCTTGAAAAAGTTACAAAAATTGTACATTGCACATCATTAAAGACAAAAATCATATTTACAATGGTCTTAAACGACCCCTGAAAAATCATTCGATTCTAGATGGGGTCGCAACCAGAGATTGTGAACCGCTGGATTAGATGTATTTACAGCATGTTAACAACCGATGCTGTATGATTGTCAATCGTTAGGCATACACGCATTTTTCACGTATCGAATAAAGATTCGCTTTGGAGTAGGAACTCTCGTTGCTTGTTTTTTCGATCACATCGGGGTCACCAGTTTGTTGCGGGGTTGCTATCCACACCACACAACTCACATACGCATTACGTATGCACGCGCTCAAAGATTATCATGCGGTGCGCATCATACGCGGTATATATATATATATACATATATATTTATTTATTTTAAGTTATTTAAATAAATAAGTTATTTAAATAAAAAATAAAAACTTATTGCAACACTAATATTTATTCATAATTAAACTAATAAAGAATTCTAGGGAAGATAAACTAACGAAAAATCAAAGCGCTTTTTAAGATATGTGGTGATTAAATTGCTTTTTGGATGTTATGTAATAATTTACCAAAAAATTGTACGTTTGTCTCACGCTAATTGACTAATGTACTAAAAATCAAATTTAACTATTAATATCTAAAATGTCAGTTGTAAACATTTAAAAAATTCCAAGTACTTCATCATAAAAAATAAATTTTCTACAAATTTTATTACAACTAGAACATGCATTTCTAAATTAAATATTACTAAATCTATAAATAATGAAAATTATGAAAGCCAAAATTGTACGAGAGCCCATCGTACGGATGCCTCATCATGCTCGTCTAAAGAATTGTTTTCAATATCGCTGTGTGATTGTGAAAAAAAAACAAATTAACACAATTGAATGAAAAAAATTATTGAATTTTTATTGACAAAAAGAATGAATGCTTATATAAATAAATATATTTCTATTAAAATATTGTAAGTTGGTGTCGCACACCATTTTCATAGACTTGAATGTTTTTAAGTTTATTCTTTGAGATTAGGCCCGTAGCTCGTTATGTTTGAGTGTGTGTGGGAAATAAATTTATTTCTGGGTGGACAACTTTAACTGTTGCACATAAAATTTTACTTAAGAATGTTTTAACATTCAAAAAATTGTTGTTTCTTAAGATAGCAAGGAAATTTCACTGTCTTCAACATTCCTAACAGTAATTGTTGTGTTTTTTCGGTACATTTTTTGTCAATTGTTCTATTCTCATGTGATTAAAAAATGGTACATCAGCATTTTTTATATCACAAGTCAGCCATTACCTGAATTTTTTAATTTTGAATTTATAATAGATTCATAAATGGCATTTTTTGAAATAATTTTATAGGAATTTCACTAATTTAAGGTCTTTTCCTACTGAATGAGCATTCATTCGCTTGCTTTTTAATGCTATGTGAATACCTCGTCCCCACAGAAAGCTCATTAACAACAAGAAACTGAACATTTTTGAAAACACTTGAAATAGTTTTTCAAGTACTAAAAATGAAACAGGTTTATTAGAATCAATTTTGATATTTCTTTCCGATCACGATAAAAAAGCCTACACGTAAGTTTCAGATGTTTGCAAAACCCAGCTTTAGATTTATTCAATATAGCTTTCCAATATTAAAACTCTTCTTTGTATATGTTTCTCCGTTAGAAAATAAAGTAAATTGATGGCAAGATAAAAAATGCAGCGTCTAATGTTTGAAATTATTCCAACCATTTAATATGTTGAAACCATTCTGTCCTGAAAGATCTATTCTGATCAATTTTAGGATATGTAGGGAGCATAATCTGTACCTAAACAATTTTTGCTAGATCGTTAGATCGTTAGTATCATACTCAGCATATGATAGTCGAGGTTTCTTTGCGTTCGAACCCTATTACTACAATGCAACACCTGGCGCTTTTTCTTTACCATCTTGCCGACAAATTATTGTATTCCCAATTGCCTTAACCGTTCGACGGCCCTAAAAAATCCGGTTTCTCGCATTTTAAAAACTAATTTACTACCTAAAAATATCGACGTTGAATGTTAACTATAGTTTTCTTTATTTGTTGTGTTGTCATTTATATGGTTATTTTAGCTATTCAGTTTCACAAACTGCATAACTTTCACTAATTCTTTCATCTCAATTTCTTTAAAGTAAAAAATTGTCTGTCTTGATTTATTGGTTCAATATATATACAATAAACTTTGTATAGGCTCGCCAGGACCTCTAGTCATATGTTGTACACGGCATATGATAGTCTTTGGGTATTGGGTAGATAGTGTTTGAACTAGTCAGTGGCGGATCTAGGGGAGGCTGGGTGACCAGTGCCCCCAATTGTGAGCAGTTTTTTTTAATAAAAGTCAATAAAACTCATTGTTTTAACAGAAAAAGCACCGTTTTATGTCGAAAATCGCAATAACGATGCAAAACATGACACTTACTTACTGGCCAACTATCTTTTAATGGTAAATAAATGTATTGTTTACATTATATTAACACATTATTCAACTGATGAATATTTTTTCCGACAAATTAATATAGGGGTGGGCAAACATTTTGTTGAAAACTATTTTACCTTATATATATATATATATATATATATATATATATATATATATATATATATATATATATATATATATATATATATATATAACTTTGCGAACGTTGACCGGGGAAAGAATGTCCTTAACTGTTGAAATGTTAACCTGGAGAGCAACATTTATGGCTGACGACCTTTCTTTTTATCTTATAATTTCATTTTTTATTTTTTCGTTAAATTAAATTCAAGGCCGTAGTTCGCTCACTCTTTAATTAATAAATATATTTTATTGTAACCTTGATAGTTGACTTTTTTCTCCATTGTGCAGTTTTCCTGTAGTCACAATTTGTAAAAAAAATATGCATTCATATGTATGAATTAATTGTCAGTCATATTAAAACATAGGGCAGGAGGGATAATTTGAGACAGTAGATAATACGGGATTTTATAAAACTATTAATACATGAACATGAAACCAAAGTACCAAAACTAGTTCTTCAAAGTTTGCCATGAAGATCTTAATAAATAAATTGAATGCACATAAATCCAGCATTTAAGTAGTTTTCTCTATCTATGTTGATTACAAAATAAAACCACGATTCACATGCTTAAGTTGATTAGTTTCATAATCAGTTGAAAATATTTTAGTTTGGGGAACGTTTTAAGGTTTAAACTTTAAATTTTTCCTTATATAGAATAAAATTTGTTAGTCAAGAAAACAACACTTTAATAAAGTTATTATTGAACCTGTGCCCCGTGGAAGTTTATGTTGGTGCGCACCGGCCTGTCATTCAGAGGATTCGTGTGTCTGCAGACGTCATATTGAATTGGATTGAATTGACGTCATAATTAATAAATAATACAAAACAAAAATAAAAAAATTACAATAAAATAATGTGAAATAATAATTAAAAAACATCAAATAATTAAAAAAACAATATGAAACATTAAGAGAATTGGAAAAAAAGTCACTAGACTTGTCAAATTAGAAATTCAAATGGCAGGAATACGTTCATAAACTTTATCTCGTAAAAGACACATTGGTAGCATATAAATTTTTCATGCATTTAAGAAACTGTCGGATTTCTTGAAAATGATAGTAAGACCAACAACGCAGATTATTAGCAGATGTATTTGCACACAGTCTACGGTCACTCAATAACAATATTTTTGGATTGCGTAACGAGAGTATTGGACGTAACGGTAGAGATAAGTAGGATTTCTAAAGACAGTTTTTTCACATTAAGTAGACACTGACCAAATTAATTTTAAAAGTATACAAAGCGATTAAAATGATTGCTAGATGCAACGGATTAGCTGAAATGAAATAACCTGCAATTGTTTTCCATTGAAACATTTTGATCAATTTCATCCCCTTGAACCAAGTCCCTCAATGATAACAACTGTAATCAGAAGAAAATATAATAGTACCTACAACATGAAATAATAACATGGCATACGCCGTGCACGTCAAAACATTCTGAAAATCAACGAGCTTAGTTTGACGACAAAATATTCCTTAGGGAGATTGCGAGGATTTCTTCATCCTTTAATTGCAATGCTATTTAAGCTGCACATATTTATCATCTTGCATTTTCAACTAATTGCATTATCAATAACGTCAGTCTTATCATCAAATGCGTCAGTTTTAGTGAACTAATTGTAAAAAAATGTAATGTTCCAACGTCTTTGTTGCTTATCAGCATGGGTTTGTTGAAGATGATCCAAGTAACAGTTTCGTCGCAGCCTGGTATGGTCAGGGAGCCCTCATATGTTATAATGTCCGATGTTTTCGGCAGAAGATTCTTCACTGTAAGTTTAGGAACATGAACCTGATTCCCTGGTCAGCAATCGTTATCATTTTTATTTACAATAAATTTGTAGTGATTGTTATTAACGTCTTTTAAGTAAGTCTTATTCTTAAATAGTATTCAATTCTACGTTGTTAAAATTGTCAATTAATTCATAACGTAACCTTTGTAAATAGGAAATCATGTTCTAAAAATTGAATCATGTTTTACTTATACAATGAAAAACAACACAACCAGTAATATACACAGACCTCTGTATTTTACTCGATGCAATTCTTTTGCTAGGACTTGAAATTCTTCATTCGATTCGTTGCCGATCTGTGAAAAGTCGTAATATTAAAGGTTATGATGTTGAAGATCGTGATGTTGAAGGTCGTGAAGTTAAAGATCATGATGTTGAAGGTCGTGAAGTTGAAGAAAGTGATGTTGAAGAACGTGATGTTGTCGATCATGATCTTAAAGTTTTTTTTAAACTTTAGGTCTTTTCTTATATTCATGATGAGATTTTTATTTCATCGTTAATACGTAAAAATGCAAAATGAATAAATTTTTATTCAAGAACGTTAAAGAACGTTAAAGAATGAATTTTTATTACTTTTTCAATATTATATCGTCAGATATTTAATAGCACCAAAACCTATATGAAAAAGTTTCGTTTTTATTCTAATATTGTCCAAAAATAATTATAAATTATATTCTAATCTTCAATGTGGAAATAATAAAAAAGGAACATTGAATATGTTATTATTTACTTTGCAGAGAACAGAGAGAACTGCCAGACCGTAAGTTGAGGATTTGGCCTGTGTGTAGTTTCCATATATTTCCGAGTTGTACGCCACTATTTGTATCTGCAGAGTTAACAATCGTTTTCAAATTTTTCATGATCAACAACAACAACAACAACACACACACACACACACACACACACACACACACACTAAATATGTGACGATTTTAAGTCATATTTTTTCCGCTGAATTTATTTTATTTAACTTTTGTCACATGAAACAAATTGAACTTAATTTAAATATAGTAACCGTAGTAAAAATAGTAATAGTAAAAAATTCAGTAATAAGTATGGTTTTAAAAATTTATAGTGAAAACACAAAAGTTTGATGTTGATAATACAACGAAAAATTTTATCTTATTTTGTGAAACTAATCTTAAATCGCAGTATAAAAAAACATTGAGACATCAGTCGGATCGCTGAGACTGACTCACGAGAAGTCAAGAGCAAAAGCGAAGAGACGACGCGAGCGTAGAATATGCGTGCAGGCACATGAAAACAATTGCTTTCGTCTCACAATGCAACAATTAATAATGACTGGATGGTCGCTTTATAATGAAAGTCAGATTACAGAACAATGCAGATTCTTTATGCTCCTTTTGCATTCAGTATTTTCGTCACTTTTATGAAAATTTCTTGAGCGGAAACATAAAAATTGAAATAGCTTGTTCGAGTCCGGTTTCCAAAGAAATGTTATAAAATCGAACCTCTACAATAAAAAATAAATAAAAGTAGATATATATATATATATATATATATATATATATATATATATATATATAATTGTAAATATGTGTATGTAAAAATTGACTTTTGAAAACAAATGCAATGTTAGAGTACATTGAAAACATTTTAATTTCTAACTTGAAACATAAAATTATTAAAATGATGGCGGATGCTAAGTTTTTTTTAACAATGCAAACTTGTTTGATTTTTTTTTTTATATTTTGATCTTTTTAGTACAGTCTTTCGATAATCCTATAGCTGAACCTCTGCTAATAGATATTTAGATTCGTCACTGTTTAATGTATGTTCAAGAGGTCGTCGGCCACAAATTCTTCCCCCTGGCCGATAAAATAGTTATCAATGCGGGCCTCACAGCAGCAAGAAGTTTGTCCACGCCCTGATGTAAAAAGATGTTTTAATATGTTGCAGATTCTTCAATATTTTTTATTCTATGCCCCACCTTTGAATCAACCTCGATCAAACGTGTTTCCAATGTTGAATTGTATAATTTTTATTTCTTACCAAATTTGGAAGTTGATTTATTACGTATTCACTAATCAAGCTTTGGCATTAACGGCATTTATTTTTTTAGGATAACAATAAGTTTCTGTTTCATACATATCTCATTTTGGCTTTAGCATCAATAATTATTATTAATTATTTTTATTAATTTTATTATTTAATGATTATTATTATTACACTTTTTATATTGTTTAAGCTTTTATTATTATTGTTTTTGTAAAATATTTGCTAGCTGTAATGATGGTTTTCATGGATTTGTCGAAAAGCTGAGAGATGTTGCATGTGCCGATGAGTTAGTTGTTCAATGAAGATTACACGTCCTGAAAATTGAGAAATCAATATAATTCTTCCATGCTCTTATTTCATTCATTCGTTCGTTCGTTCGTTCGTTCGTTCGTTTTTTTTTAATTTTTTCAAGATAGAATTAGTGTTACAAGTTTTAAGAAAAAAAAATACATTTTTTTTACAAGAAAATATATTACAACGTTTCCAAAATTATTTACATTTTCAAACATTTTCGTTTTTTCGAGAAATAATGCTACATTTTTTTAAAAGAAATTTGACATTTTCAAAATATTTTACAACATATCCAACATATTTTACAACATTTTCAAAATATTTTACAGTATTTATAATTAAACGTGTTTTATTTGTCTTATTAAAAATATAACAAATTGTGTCGGCATTTTTCCTCATTCAAACTGTTCTCTACGCAACGCCTTATTCAAGAAATCTTTCACGTGATTATATGTAATAATTTCTACAGTCCTCAGGTGTGATTTCCTGGCTACATTCCAAAACGCTGGTCATAAGCTCAGACTCGTTTGCACAGTTTTCTTCTTTGACTGCATTCTTCCATTTAGAGAAGAATTTCTCGATCTGATTTAGGTGCGGGCTATATGGCGGTAAGAAAAATAGCACGTACCCGAAAAATAGCTCATATTGCACGAGTTTTGCGAAAAGAAAAATTGTCCATAATCAACATTGCATTTTCTATATTAATGAATGCCAATTTTTCTAAAAATGAATTTAGAAACATAAAATATTTTTCTGTGTTAAATGCACTTCTAGACTCAGAAAAATAAAAACAATGATAATAACGATAATATCGAGAGTAAAAAAATTTGTGGCCAAGTATAGTAGTAGCAGCAGTGGCAGTTGTGGTTGTAGTATCGTCACTTGTCTTCGTGCACTGCTTGTTGTACATTGATTCTGCAGGAACAACTGCTGTTTGCGTCTATTAACTTCAAGCTTCAGTGGCGAACATCTGTGCTACAATGCCATTTATTTATCTATCCACCATTCAATTTTTACTCTTTTTCATTTATTTATTTTTTCTCTCTCTGTCCCATTCTTCATTTTTTTTATGTTTGATCCAATTTCTAACTATTAAAAAAATTGTTGTTTTAAAAATTGGATGATCATCGAATGTCATCACATTAGCGGCAAGCAATGTATTTTAATAGGAATCACGATTGACGTCGGCGGTTAACATTTCAAAAATTTAGGAGTTTGAATATGGAGCAGTTGAAAGTGGTTAAGTTGGACGATGCAGAGGGAGAGAGGGAGAACATGAAAAGAAAGGAGGGAAACAATTTACTGAAGCTCCATCACTTGGATACGGGCTACGAGACAGGTTAAACGAATGTTTATCGCAGTGACACTCTTAAATTCCCGCATGTAACTGTATGGGAGAGAGATATGGATGATGTTGAAGGGAGAAAAGACACAAATCACAAATAATTAAAATCATTTGATGTGACGCTTAATTAATTAATGTTCAAGCAGTTTAGCATGAAAGAAATTTCAATAAATGTTAAAACTGAAAATGTGTATGTGTACAATTTGTGAAACATGTTGTTGCATCCGTTGATTTAATTTGAAATATTATTTGTCGAATGTGATTATCTTTTAGGCAGGTCACCAAAAAACGTTTTAAACTTTTAAAACATCAAACTTTACTAGTGATTTTATACTATGTACGTACAAATAACTAAAATAATGATTTATATAATATGAACGATGGGCAAGTTTAGCTATGTAGTTGCAAACTAATAGTTAGACTATTTTTTGTCGTTTTCCTGCATAGTTTAACTAAAAATATTAATTTAGTTAGTTGAAGTAAAATGATATCTTTCTTTTTTCAACAATCTGGCGATATCCGACTCAGGCCAGACATCATTGTGGGATAGTTGACCGGATAGTTAATATTCTTATTCAAAAACGGACATGGATTGTTATTCAATAAACACGCATGAGCATGTTTAAACTGTACATGTTCATTTGTTTATATGCTAAATTTGCGTTTGCTTTTTGGCCCTTCTCTCTGGAACTCACTACCTCTTTTTCTAACTACTTCTTCATCACTTACAAAGTTCAGAGCGGATCTCAAGACCTATCTGTTTGTGAAATTCATTGTGGAGCGCTGTTGAGCATAGAGGAAATGGTGCTTCAAAATCTAAGTGTAAAATAGATAGATAGATAGGTTGGTTGGCTGGTTGATTGATTGGATTGATTGATTGAATGAATGAATTAATGATTGAATGAATGAATTTATGATTGAATGAATGAATTAATGATTGAATGAATGAATGAATGAATGAATGAATGATTGATTGATTGATTGATTGATTGATTGATTGATTGATTGATTGATTGATTGATTGATTGATTGATTGATTGATTGATTGATTGATTGATTGATTGATTGATTGATTGATTGATTGATTGATTGATTGATTGATCGACCGATTGATCGACCGATTGATCGACCGATTGATTGATTGATTGATTGATTAATTGATTGATGGGATGACCTTGATGACACTTAAAAATTTTAGTCTTTCACTTGTCATGACTCGGCACAAACAAATGTTCGTCACAATCACAAGGTCTCACTTGATTTTGTCTCATAATCACAAGGTTAAGTTTATATATATATATATACATATTTTATATATATATTGGGTTGAGATTATCTGATATGCAGTTGTTTAAAAATATCAAAGCATTGTATGCGCTGTTCAATTGAGTTTTTCAATTTTTCAGTTTTTCGTACGACGAATATCGGTTTATTTTCAAGTTTGTTCAGTTCATAAACAAAATTTAGATTTATTTAGGGCTAACAGAAAAATAGACCAAACAAGATATGGATGACTCTGAATTTGAAATAAAAAAGTATGTTCTCTTTCGGAAAAATAGAGTAAATCAACCTTGTCAAGAACGTGTGTATAAAATCAAACTTGAATGCTAAACTCAGAAAAGACATTGATAAAGAAGGCTACAAGGAGTCAGTGTGGTGTGAGATTGCTAACGAAAAAAATTACTGATTGGAATATGTTGTTATCGGCTGCCCCACGCTGATAGAGAAATGGACGCAGGATTACGTGACCTTATGGAAACTGTTAGTACGAACTTTACTACTAACAAGACACCTTGTTGTGAGTTAAAATAAATAAAACAAACACAATTCAGGCGTAATAAAATATTATCTTTATTTCCATGTGAATCTCGAACCGTTTCGTTTACAAGCTATCAGGAAAAAGGGAAGAAATCGAGAGAGAAGCAGAGACTTAAAAATTAACATAGATTAAGTAGCATTGAATTGCAATAATCTTTGATAATAATTAATATGTGAGATAGTTTATAAATGAATGTTTGATCCCTACAAAACAAACTGAAAAAGCACATTCATTCTGATGGAAGATTTTAATTATCATATTGACTGGCAAGAACAAGTTGGCAAAAAACTACAGAAAAAAAATTTCTAGAATTTATGGAAAATAACCACTTTATTCAAGTGGTAGATAAAAC